TATCACTTGGAAGAGTTTGGCATGTTACATTCTATTGTGTTTAAAAAGTTGAAATCAAATTGAAAAGATACTTTGGAAATTGTTATAAGTACAAAAGATAATACATTAAAAATTCTTCAAAATTTGCCAAACTGAGAAGCTTGAACTAGAGAATCAATGAAAAGGCTTCTGGAATGAAACAGAAAAAATAAAACCTTAAAAGAAAAGAAAGTTAAGAAGAAACAAAATATTTCTGCTTAATCTAATTTTTTTTCAGCAAAATTGACTAGCTAAAGAAAGATTATTATAAAAAAAAAAGAAGGTGACTATGGTATGATTGAAATCAAGACAACTTTTCACCAGAAACCAAATGACCTTCAGCAATGAGCAAGCTATAAAATTAAGACCTGACAAAACAACTCAATAATAGACTGATTGATGAATAAAACAGTAGACAAAAAAGAAATATGATATACAGCAACAAATGACAACAGCTCCTAACTTGGGACAGGCACATACAGAATGTATGGACATAAACATACATGTGAACCTCCCAAAAGGAGTACAATAATCCCGATTTCAGGAGTCTCCTCCTGTCTTCCTGCTGGAAAAAAAATCCAGCATATAAAGAGTTTCATGAATGAAAATTTCGGACACCATTTTTTACTACACTGTTTACAAAGATTTATTATTGAAGACATAAAACCCTGAGTGTATCGAAAAGTATCCTGTGTACCTGACATTACCTAATTACGCAACATGTGTAGATTTTGACCCTGGCCTGAGGCTAATTAACAAGTGATAATAATTTGATTGAACAATCAACAGGTGATAGGATCTTTTTTACTAGATATGGCTTCTGTTTATGGGACACGCTAAGGGTGATTGAAGGTAAATACCAGCATTGATAGAAAAGTGGAATGTTGTCAAAACATCAATCGGAAAGTTTTGTTGTAAAAAAAACATATAACAATCTTTCAACTCAGCTACAAAATGCTCCCTAATTCACACTCCAATGCGGACATTTAAGGACCTTCAGCATGCTCTGCAAGAAGATCCAAAATGACAGCAGGAACATCATTGTGACTAAAAGACAATTCACAGCCTCCTTAGTGTTAAGATTAACAACTGCACAAACTGATACTAGGATCAGGATAACTTTAGTACAGAGTCAAGTGTATTAAAGGCAAACAAGTCAGCTTGTACTTCTTACCTGACCCAGTGTTCCAAGACCAGTTATCAAATAACATTTGTCAATGTAATATAGACAGTGCTTAAGATAATATATTTTACAATATTTGAAACAATGATAGTCTCAAGTTTTCTAGCAAAGTTACTTTATTAATGCTTAAAAACCATGCATAACTTGTTATTGCTTATGTTAAACTTTGATCTATTTATCATTTTATACATGTATAGCATATTTCTTTCTTCTATATCTATGCCAGTGACATATAGCATACAAATATTAAAGATAGAGGCATGACTAAAACACTGCTTTAAATTTCTCGTTGTACTCAAAGGAAAGGTTAAATCCTAGTACTTTATCTATGAGCAGTCATCAATCAACAATCAAAAACAAAACAAGAAACAGAATCTTCTCAATAATTTTTTCAACTGATATCGTTCAAGTAGTCAGGCTACAAGACTACTATTAACACATTGTTATATTACATTCAGAAGGAAGATTGAAGAAAAAACACACAAAAAAACAATTTTTACACATCAGGCGGTTTTATATACAACAACAAAAAATGCTGATAAAAAACCTCCTGATCAGAGGTCTAATTTCCTAACCAAAATGTTCCAATCTTCTGATCTGAGGTTCGAAGTCCATCACATGTATGCATAAATAAGTACATTTTAAAGTTCAATATTAAAATATATCCAAGTCCAATTTTAAATAAGTTTATCTTTGAGAGATTATTGACTCTAATAATAGCAATGTGCACTTAAACTAAAAAATAAAGTAAATATTGTCTGATCATATTGATCAACATTTTCAAGTCATGTGGTTCTGATATAAAGCTGCATGATAAAGCTCAAAACTATCCATATCAATTTAGTGCATAAAAAGAATATGACATGAATAATGTCGGAGGTTGAAAGAAAATACAATGACTGTAATGCCACCTCAGATGTCTCTCAGATTTCTCAATCATTCGATACAACACTGTACATAAGATGTGAAAAAACGAATCCTGATCGGAAACATGAAAAAAATGAGGTTGTAAAACCAATTCTTAAAGTTAAAAAATGCAAGTTTCACAAAGATCGGGACGTTTCAAATTTTTGTGTAGACTGCAATATACCTGTTTGTTCAACCTGTTTATCGAAGCCTGACCACAAAGGCCATCATTTAGAGGAGAATGAAATAATCTACATGAAAAAAGAAAAGGAATTGAAAGAATATGCAGACAAGTTTGAGTATTATTTTCTTCCACATTTCTGCAGGGAGCAAGAGAGACTTGACCAAATATTAAAACATCACCAAGATATGATTGAAGAGGAAAAACAAAAAATTATTGACCATGAAAAAGAATTGAAGGATAAAATAAGAATGAAAACAGATAAGCTTATACAAGATCTGGAAGGGCGATGGGAAAATATTCTGGAGAAAACAGAAATATTAAAAAAAAACACTGAAAACAACATTGTTGAGATAAATAAAAGAGTTAATGATATCAGTTCGGAGAAAGACTGCCTTGACATAGAAACAATCTGCAATTTGAAGGATGAAATGGAAATCTTTGAAAAAAATGTAGATCTCTCATATCTACAGCTGCCATTGGAAGGGAAAAAGTATAAAAAAGGAACTTTAAATCAAAACCAAACAGAAAATATCGTAGGTTGCTTGGAGAAGGTTATGATGTCAGATATCATTGACTTTAGGGTCTTGAGGTCTTTCAATACAAATATTGAAAGTATTGAATCTATTTCCGTAAATGAAGATAATACAATATGGACCAATTCCAAAGACAACGTTGTGAGAGAAATGGATTTAAAGAAGGAGATAAAAATACAAAAACAATACCCAGTAGCTGTCAGAGACATAGCCATAACAAAGTCTGGAGATTTACTTCTTGCAGAATTAAATGATACTCCTAGCATTAAAAAGTTAAACAGATCCGGAAACCTTAGAGTTTTTTACAGCCATCCTGGTGGTTTTCTCAAAACACCTTTTAGTGCAACTGCACTTCATGTTCAAACTAATGGAAATGTATTGGTTGGCTTTAAAAAGGACAATCCTGGAAAAGGAGCCTATCAGAAAATAATTGGCCTATCTCCAAATGGTAACAGACTCAGAGAGCTTCTATTAGCTGTTGATGGGAAAAGTCTATGTACATTACCTTACAGAATAACTGCCAATGAAATTGATGACATTATTATTGTGGACCAAATTTCGGGAAATGAAGGACGAATAGTAGCTATAGATAAAACTGATAAATTAAAATGGATTTATACTGGAAACACTACTGGAGAAATACAAAACACATTCTCCCCCCATGGAATAGTAACAACTTCCCAGAATAATTTTATTGTCTGCGACGAAAGGAACAATGCTTTACATGTTCTAAATGAGAATGGACAAGTTCTCATATGTCAAGATATTAGTTATTTTGGACTAGAAATTCCCTATGCTATAGCTATAAATAACAAAGGGCACATACTTCTAAGCAGTATAAAACAGAATGAGGATAAAGAAAAGGCCGTTATATCGGTTTTGAGATTTACTGGATGTTAAACTGAAAAAAATGTGTGAAAACTGAACAAACGAATTCGAAGTTGTAGATTTCATGAATTATTTACTTCATTAAACTTGAAAAAAAATGTTCTACGCAAATTTTATATAAAATCATTGAGGGTTGAGCATGTACACAAACCAAATGATTGTTTGAAACGTACACATTTATTATAGTAGTATAAATCGCATACATGGGTACAAATTTTCAGTGGATCAAAGGGGAAAAAAAGTCGATATTAGATTTCCAAGTTTTTCCAAAGTCTGCATACAAGCCTATAGAAAATGTAATTGTTGAACATTTAAATTCATGCTTTACCTTTAACTACAAAATCTACAAAAATTGGTATTCCACAAATAACAATGAAACAACAGAAATGGAAAAGAAATACTATTATGGTGTAGCAATTCATGAAACCATATTCCTACACACAATAAAAACATATACAAAGCAAAGGAACAATACTGACTTTTCAACACGGAATAAAAGCTCTCATCTAACTGCGTTCAAGACAGTGGTCCCTAAGCTGGCATGGGTTTGAGTGGATGTCTTTGCTAGATGTCCATGTCCATCACACTACATCTGTGTATTGTAGGACACGGCTGCAGTGTAATAAAAGTATCTTGATGGCAGCAACATTGATTTGCTAATGAACATTGAAGTAACAACCCTTTATAAGCACCATCTAAGAAACCTATTTTTTTTCTATTGGTTTCAATCTGTTGTGTCATTTGAAGGTACCCAGACAACAATCAAAATGGCAGTCAATTTTATTTTTTAAATTTCAAATCATAAGTTATTATTTACTTTCCCGCACAATAAAGGGGTGAATAAAGTTTTTAACTTAGATTGCAATATCAAAGGAATGGTAATGCAGCCAAAAATCTCCTGTACATATTAGCAAAAACATTTTGAATGACAATCAATCCTATTGTATCTGCCATAGTGATAGAGGGTAATAGGATGTGTTAAATCTTTATAGTCAAATCAACTACAGCAATACATATGAGGGTCTGGATGGGGTTTACAGAAAAGGGAATAATGGGCAAAAGGTGCAAAATATAGAGCAAAGAAATAAAGAATAGAGAAAAATGGACCAAAAAAATAAAGAACAGAGAATAATGGGATGCTGAAATATAAAGAATAGAGAAAAATGGTCTAAAAATTTTAAGAATACAGAAATGAAGGACTCCCCATCCAGACCCTTACATGAGCACTTATTTTTAACACTAACAGGATGATCTATTCGAAACTGTAAAAAAAAGTTAAGTGACTTACCTGGAATCCAGAGAAGCATCCTCCAGCTATTCCAGGAAGCTGTATAAGGAAAACAACATGTATGTCTGTAGACATTTCTCCTGGTATCTGCTGTAGCTCTCCTTGTACAGTATACCTAGCACAGGCAATCAGGTCAGCATTCTGGTCCCCACAGTCACATTGTACAATAAGTAACAGATCAGAACGATTGGTTTGGTCAAAACATGCTCTGAAGTTAAAAATGCTACATGTTATCAAGTATCATAGGAGTAAATTTGGAATAAGGTTTTATTGGCCATTATAACTAGAGGCTCTCAAGAACCTGTGTCGCTCACCTGTATTTACTGATGCTTTGGAAATTATGTAAAATAAGGTTAAAATCATAATTAATAGTATTAGATATTATATATTATAATGATATCTAAGATAATAACAAAAAAAACTGCAAAATTTCTGTAAAATTACTAACTCAGGGGCAGCAACCGAACAATGGGTTGTCGGATTCATCTGAAAATTTCAGGGCAGATAAATCTAAATCTGATGAACATTTTTGCCACCTGTCAGATTTGCTCTAAATGCTTTAGTTTCAGAGATATAAACCAAAAACTGCATTTTACCCCCATGTTCTATTTTTAACCAAGTCGGCCATGATTGTTCAAAAGCGGGGTCATCGGACAAATTTTTTAAACTAGATACCCTAATAATGATTATGGCCAAGTATGGTTAAATTTGTCTCAGTAGTTTCAGAGAAGAAGATTTTTGTAGAAGATTACAAAAATTTACGAAAAATTGTTAAAAATTGACTATATAGGGCAATAACTCCTAAAGGGGTCAACTGACAATTTTGGTCATACGACTTATTTGTAGATCTTACTTTGCTGAACATTATTGCTGTTTACAGTTTATCTCTATCTATAATAATATTCAAGATAATAACCAAAAACTGCAAAATTTCCTTAAAATTACCAATTCAGGGGCAGCAACCCAACAACAGGTTGTCAGATTTGTCTGAAAATTTCAGGGCAGATAGATCTTGACCTGATAATCAGTTTTACCCCAGTCAGATTTACTCTAAATGCTTTGGTTTCAGAGATATAAGCCAAAATCTACATTTTACCCCTATGTTCTATTTTTAGCCATTGCGGCCATCTTGGTTGGTTGGCTGGGTCATCGGACACATTTTTTAAACTAGATACCCTAATGATGATTGTGGCCCAGTTTGGTTAAATTTGGCCCAGTGGTTTCAGAGGAGAAGATTATTGTAAAAAGCTAATGACGACAGACGACGACGACAGACGACGGACACCAAGTGATGAGAATAGCTCACTTGGCCCTTCAGGCCAGGTGAGCTTATAATAATCAATCATAGCTAACACAATGACTAGAGAGTATGACGTCTCTGTGTTGAATACTTACTAATCACCTTTCTTTTAATGACACCACATTTAGCACAAATTTTGATTTTCCAAGAATTTTACGAAAGCAGATCAATTTCCATAGGTTTTATAGGACTGGAAACATATATCACTAATGACTACAAAAAATATCTTTCGATAATATATATGTGTGTTAAAACACATTACATATTTTACTAAAATATTTAGTCTGTTGAAGCCTATTAATGTTTTCTTGGCCTAAACTTTCACCAAAATCTTGATTGGCCTATTTGATGTGTAAATGTCAAATTGAAAGCTTTTAAAGAAAAGTTCAACATAAATAATATTTCACATTTTTTTACATGTCTGTTAATCAACTTGAACCTCTTTTTATCTTGAAACAAACGACTTGATATTTGGGGCCAAATAGGGCACTTACTAAACTAAATCCTCTGTGTACAAGTTTAAATTCATTCTTCTGATGCTAATAAGCCAAGTGTTTGTTCAGACAGTAAACTATTAAACTCACACACATATTTGATAAAACAAGAATGTGTCCATAGCACACGGATGCCCCACTCGCACTATCATTTTCTATGTTCAGTGGACAGTGAAATTGGGGTCTAATCTAATTTGGCATTAAAATTAGAAAAATCATATCATAGGGAACATGTGTACTAAGTTTCAAGTTGATTGGATTTCAACTTCATCAAAAACTACCTTGATCAAAAACTTTAACCTGAAGTGGGACAGACAGATGAATGGACAGATGAACGAACGAACGAATGAACTAACAAACAAACGAACCGACGCACAGACCAAAAAACATAATGCCCCTCTACTATTGTAGGTGGGGCATAAAAAAGTATGAAACATCAAGATTTTCAGTTAAATTCCTGTTCTATCTTTATTTGCCATATAGCTATATATATCATATTACTAGATTATTATTAAAAATAAAATAAAATAAGGTAGAAATACTTGTGAATATTTATTTTGTAGATACTTCTAATCTGCAACAGTTAAATCATTTGTCCAATTTACAAATAAAACAAGGGACCATGCATGCATAACTAACAAAAAGTTTCATCCCCTACTCCCTGGCTGCTGCACATATTTTATCTGTCCAAGAGCAACGACTCCAAAACATTTTTTTAAGTTACTTTTAAATTCTATGGAACTGAAGGAGTGAAATTGTTTACAATGCAATTATCTATATGATTTCTTTTTTCATGTATCATACCTCTTTGAATTTAGAATTTGTCCAACACATTGCTGATGTAAACCTTACTTCTAATTTTCATAAAACTCTGACAATGTAGGTTGGAGAGCTCTCAAATGAAATTTTCCATACAAGTTACATTTCAAAGGATATAACTTCTTAAAACTAGTTCATAAGCAATGATTTTTTAATTTGTCAGAGGTATCTTTGATATAAATTTCATTAAAATCGGACAAGAATTTTGCACGGGAGAGAACTAACAAGCCGTGACGGACATGCAGACAGACGCCCAGTATTTCTATATCCCCCTCATATAAACTTAATGGCTAGCTATAGTGAACAACTAAAGATTGAGCATCATAAACACCATGTTTATATGATACTAAACAAATATCATACTTGATTTTTCTGTTGAACTGTTGTTCTGTATCAAAAGACTGTAGTGTCAATAATGTTACATTCTGTCTCTGTATGGGTATAAATCTGCACAGGATCTCAATGTCTGCCGTTGACATTAATTTTGAATTTGTTGTAATCTGAAATATTAACAAAAAAATGCTTTAACTTTTTCAATATGTTTTACATCTTTGTAATATCAGATGTATGATAGTGAGGATCTTCAAAGCTGAGCACTTTGATTTAAGTAGAGACTTCAAGGAAAATGCATAAATTTCTGTGTCATCTGGTCTCTTGTGGAGAGTTGTCTCAATTGCAATTATAACACATTAACACATCTTCTTATTTTTTTATTTATGACCCTGGAAGAAAGAAATACCCCTTTAGAAACTTAACTCAGCCTGGTGGCATCTTCAAAAATTTATCTACAACTACTTCTGGTTGCAGGCCCGTAAAGTAGAATATTTCATAAAAATGCAAATATTTATTTAGGTTGGTTTTCCCTAGACTGACTTAGAAACAGGTGTTTGCCTTCAAGTTTAGCACTTAGGTCACTGATCAGTATGTCGTGTGTTCCCTACAGCTCACACAAGCTACAGCAAGTATATATATTTGCATCTCTTCACTCTAGACGTATCAAAATTCATAAAAAATTGAGTTTTTCCCTGTGGGATTGATGATTTCTGGTCACAGTCCCACTAATCTTTTAATTTTGTGAATATTTGAGAAGCCTTTTTAATTATCAGAAAGTATCAGCATCAAAGTATTACTGATTTGCATAAATCTAGCATATTTTTGCAAATAAACAAAATTAACCATTTTCTGAAAGTTTGAAAACAATTTAATATCTGATGAGTTTATTATAATAATGAGTTGAATCAAACAAATACTTTCATACCTGTGCATATATACTGCCTTTGTTTATAGTCACCATCTTATAATGAAGATAATTAGCTAGGCTGTCATGGTGTTGTTCTGTGAAATATGTATTGAACACTCGTTTATCATCAAGTTGCCAAACTGCAGCAGGAGTGGCACACCATAAAAGTATAGACTGGGCGTCACAAAGAATCTGAAATATGTTAGATATGTTAATCAAGAATTCTCTTGGTTCTGGAGGAAAAAACTTTAAATCAATCTGATATAAACAGCAATAATTGATCTTTTTTATATTTGATTGTTATTTCAGTTTCACACAGGAAATTTTATACTGCAAGATTTCATTTCAAGTAATTTAAGCATAACTGGTAAATTATAAAGTCAGGGACTTCATTTCAACAAATTTCTTAAAACCTTTTAATTACTTAATTCTTTTAGAGATACAAAGATTTTGTTTGGCTGTACCTGTTGAAACCCTTTTTCAACAAACAGGAAGTAGAACATTGACAGGACCGGAAAAAGGGTCACACAGTATAGCATAACCAGCTGATCAAGCTAGGTGCCATATATCAAAAAGCTTTGAATAGGAGTTGCTGAGAAAAATCCAACAAAAATCTGTTGCAGACAGGTAGAAAGACAAATAAAACAGAATGACCCCTCTCCTTTGTAGAGGTGGTTTAATTATTTTCATATGAGTTGTAATTATGAGTAGTGTTTCATATATTCACAAATCATCCTACCTCCTTCTCAATTTGAGATATAGCTTCATCATTACATCTTTTCTCCTGACAAACATGTAATATAATGGCTGCACAAGTATCGGCATGGTAACCCATAAAAGCATCTCCTATCTTTCTTATGTCCTTCCTAAAATGAGTTTTATAACATAAATGTAATATCATTCATTGATGTAAACACTGATAAATCAGCTATGGAACACAAGCTTACCAAATTATGACATACAGAGGTTTCTATACTCGCTCTGACATTTCACTTGCAAAAGTCCTGAATTTTGGCATAATTCTAAATCGCTATATAGAGTTTACTTAATGTTTAGACGTTTTCAGGTGTTTAAACTAAAATTGCTCAGTGGAATTCATGTAAATTTAAGGCATTATAATAGCATTTAAGAATTAATGGTTTCATTCTTATAAAGTTTAATCAAATTTTGAATTTTTGTCCCATAGTCAAATTTATTTTATCCAAGATACTGAAGGCAATTTTATTATCTATGATTCATTTGACTAATATCTGAGAAACTAATGGTCAAAATTGTACATTCAAAACAGCCCCACTGCTATCTGGTAAATGTTTCCCCTATTGCATGAGATCAGAAACTTACTTTTTCCTCATGTATGCTGGAATTTTTGCTTCACAGAAATTCTGAGCCCATTCTTGTAGTTTTTCTGTCAAATCGAGTTGACATGGTGTCAACATTGTTTTTAAAGACAAAAAGTGCTTTTCTAATCGATTAATTAGTGGTATAGGGAATTTATCATACACAATCTGTTTCTCTGCAACTACAATCAGCCTGCAAAAAAAAATTTAAAAGTTAATAGTAGTTGATAAAATAAGGATTATCCATCAGACTCAAAGAGCCAATTTACACAAATCTGGTTCTATTCTATTACTATTACTTTATAATTAAACAAGCTCATTAAGATTTAAGAATTTAGTCTCTAGGCTGACTAAATATATAAGACAGTAACTCTCCTGAATGGCTATCTAGTATATTGTGTTCTTTTAATTACCTGAAATTTTTATGCACTCTGCATTTGACTCGGTGGGTTCCAAGACCCAAATCTACATATCTTTCACCTCCAAACTGAACATAGTACTAAAAAAGAAGAAAATTATCATAAAAATATTTTCATAACAGTTAGTACACTAGGTTTTAGCATAGAAAACACGAATGGAAGGTCACCTTGATTTAAGACAAAACCCGTCTTGTCAGATCAACCTCAGACTTATAAAAGTCAATGTCATCTGATCCTGAAGGTGACTTTTATAATACCAGTTTGATTTTATTGTTTTCCTTTGCAAAACAAACTTCTAGAATATATTCAATTCATTAATAAACAGTATTGCAATTTATTTCTCACCCTATATCGGATTCAACTCTGTGAGTGTTCTTTTAAAAAAGAAATAAAAGAAGAATGTGTCCATGAGACACAGATGCCCCTTCTTGTAAATATGTAAGAGATAATGTAATAGTTCAAACATAACGGAAACCAATTTCAAGACATACAGACGGCCAAGTGTAAACCTTAATGCCCATTGTGTTTAGCGGTGGGGGCATAAAAATATAAAAATGTGTAAACAAAATGTGCAACCAGTTATGTAATGCAACATAATTTTAATTCAATTCAAATATTGATTGCTATAAGTTTCCTCATAAGTAGTCAAGTTACATTCAAAAATTTTTAAAAAAGAATGCAAATTCAAACTAAATTCAATGAGAAAGGATCTGCAAAAAAAATCTTCCTGAAAATCTTACCTGGTTCAGGGCATCATAGAGGCTTTCATACAGATTCTCTAAATTCAACAGAATAACTGTACTACCAGTCTCCATACATACTTTGATTCTGTTTATGTTTCTGCACACCTATAAAATAAATTCAAAAAATATTTCTTTTTAAACAAAACCTTATTAAAACTTTTTTTAATTAAAGGATGGATTATTATTTCAGATCTTCATTACTTCCTTTCAAAATTTCTTCATTTATTCACCAAACTGAAAATCCAGTATCATGCATCCCTGAAGCATCTATCAGAAATTATGCTATGTATCATCAAGTGAGATAATCAGAGATAATGCTTTGTTTTGTCAAGGGAGATAACTGAAATGCAACTGACAAATTTGTCCCATCTTTATCTCCATGTATAACTAAACTTAAACTTAAACATGACTTAGACATAAATAATTCACTACATGCTTATTACCTGCGTGTATTCCTGGTCACTAGGAAAGCTGCTACCAAATATGACCACAGCATTGTGCATGGAAATTTTCTGCTGTAAAATTGTTAGAGCCCCATAGTTCTCTGTTAGTAGTAACAGGTATCTACTTTCACTGCAAAAATAAATGAGAACTATTATAGCACATATAGTTTCTAAAATCTAAGTGTGTTTTAATATGAGCATAATCAAAAGGAAAACTACGTTCAAATGTCTATTTGAGACTGATCAAATGTAAATTTTGGCATTTTTTAACGTTTTTTCCTTTAATAAATGCAGAGAGTTGGATGGATGAAAGCAAAAAGCTAGATAAAATTACAGGATATTATTTTTTAAATCTTGACAGACTACAGCATGTACAGTGTTACAAATTTGTGAAAGAATTTATTTGAAAGCCTTCATTCCTTTTTGATTTTCTATTTTCAGCATTGCAGAAAAGTGTCTTTATCTTACATTCATGATTTGCTATCGAACAATGACTGACGTTTGGCAAACTTGAGAGTACTGTTTTCACATTACATATAAGTAAAAAGTGTAAATTAAGTATGTCAGAAAATTTAATTGACTTAAAATTAACTTTATGGAATTCTCAATATTTTCCCATAACAATGCATAGCCTTTGAATATAAATGGGGAATGTGTCCATGGGGCATATATAGTTATAAAGGGACATAACTCAAGAACAGTATAAGTGACACTACCCAAATTTGTACTTGATCTGTGTTTTGTGGTAATAAGCATTGTGTATAAGTTTCATAACATTTGGTTAAGGCAAACTTAAGTGAGAGAACGGAAACGAAAAAATTCAGCAATTTTTCCATTTGTACAGGACATAACTCTAGAACGGTAAAAGTGATGCCACCAAAATTCAAACTTGATCTGTGTTTTGTGGGAATAAGCATTTAGTGTATAAGTTTCATAACATTTGGTTAAGGCAAACTAAAGTTAGAGAACAGATACAAAAATTCAGCAATTTTTCTATTTGTAAAGGGGCATAACTCTAGAAAGGTAAAAGTAATGCCACCCAAATTCAAACTTGATCTGTGTTTTGTGGTAATAAGCATTTTGTGTAAAAGTTTCATAACATTTGGTTAAGGCAAACTAAAGTTAGAGAACGGAAACCATTTTTGGGAAGTACAGATGTACAGACCGACGTACAGACGGACAAGGGTAAAAATTAATGCCCCATCCGCTATGGCTTGGGCATAAAAATAATATACCTGCTTGATTTAGCACCAGACAGACAAGCTTGGATCATCCCTGCTGAGGTACAGTCTGGATCATCTTCATTTGGCTGATACAAAAAATATACCATTATATTTTTGAAATTCTGATATGATAGCACAATATATAAAATCATGTCACCAATGTGAATTATGTAAAACTCTGGAGGACTCATTTCAACAGTACAAGAAATGCCAAAATATGCACATTCAAGTAATTGATAAAATCGTAAGCATTGTTGTAGTGAACTTAAAATTGACCACCAAAGTTCGTCAAAGATTTGATATGTGACTGATTATTCTGAAACTAGTTTTCGACACTAAGTCAGACTACTGCTAGACATTCACCATATTTCAAGACATGCAGTTCCACAACTCTGCTCAAAAGAGGATCATAGGGTTTAAAGTTTTTTCCTGAACATTTTTATTCCTTTTCATAATATAGATAAAACAAATAGTTTCCTACCTCTTCATGTTTATTGACGAGTCCTGACAATTTACCATAGAATATGTTAACAGGATCAGCCTTTTCTAATCCACCAAAGTTTCGGAGAATGGAATGTTTCAACTGCTGCCATGTTGGTTTGTTTCTTGATTTTGAAACAAATGCATACAACATTTTCAACAAGCTGAAAAAGAACAAGTTTGAAAAAACTTTCATTCACATTATATTAGTTGAGTATAAGGAAAGAATTACGAAACACTGTATCACCTTCTTTACTCATATACCAAAGTATGACATTATGGTTTCAAGAAGACTTGGAATATCTTAAATGGACAAGAAAAAGAGTAAAATGGTAGCCAAATATATTCATATGGGTTCAACACAAGATATGATTTCAAAAAGACTCTATTTTAACTTCAGTTCAAACAATTATGTTTTAATTTTCAATGCAACAGTATATACATTTCCTGAACAAAGCATCTATGGCTCAAATTACATTCTAAAAATTCAAAAGATTAAAAATAAAATTACAAATACCTGTAAAAGTCTCTTAGACCAAAAAATTCTCTCATTTCGTTAGAAGCTTCTTCAAACAGTTCCAAATATGAGTCTGCCATTGGCACAATCATTGGTTTGATAAACTTCAAAACTCCTCTGTCGGTAGAGCAAATTCCTCTGTTCAAAATAAAATATTGTCTTTCAAATATAAAGTTAATAAAATTTACTTTATTGCATAGGCATATAATGGGGTTTTGACAGAAATAATCATCTGTCAAGCTGTTTAAATAAAAATATTTCTTTACTTTCAAAAATAGGAAATCAGTTACTCTCTCAGGATATTCTCATTTCTAAATTGTTGGAAAGTCTTTTGCAAATTTTTTACCCATAAGAAGTTGAGATTTCTGATGAAGAAAAAAACATTTAGTTGTTTTTAACAACATCCTAAAAAAATAAGAGAAATACATCTTCCTAGAACCTTCCATTATTTCGTGAAAATTGACAACTTAGTTTTATTTTCAAGTATAACTATTGCCTTTGTAACTATGGTAACTAAAGTTGTTTATAAAATGTGTGTGACATGCAGTCATTAAATGATGATATGTATTTATAGCTATTTTTCGAAATTTTCCTTTGATCTTACGGACTGATAATTTCCTTTCTCAGCACAGCAGAGAGAGATGTGAAATTTTTGCTAGAAACTATGTAAACATCAACAACATCAAAGGCAAAATAGCGAGAAACAGATTATCATAGGTCATCTTCACTCAATTGCTTTTCTCGCTTTCGCTGTGCCGGCTGAAGCAAGAAAATCAATCTTGTGAAGATGACCAATGATAATCTATATATATTAAAATTCAATGACACAGTAGTTAACAGCTTATGAATTCTTCCTACCCTGTCCTAAGAAATTTAAATTTTATTTCTACTCTTAACTTTTCTAAATCAATATCTTACTCAGCGCTTTCTCTCAATTCAGTAATATCTGGAACCTCTCTCTGAACCAGAATACCTCTGTTCATCTTGGCAGGGTCTAAGGCCCAGTTGGATATACCAATAAATGCAACCTGTAGAAAATGGGTTATGCATGATTAGTTATATATGTTGTGCCCAAATTAACAACGAAACCAAAGCATTGTACTACTGTACACATTTTGATCACTGAAAAGCGCTTTTTCAAAAATGTTTTCGTAAAAACCATAACACTGTCTTCATTAATTTTTAAGCACAATTTTTTACACCTCGACTTTGGAATTTTCCTTGTTTATGTGGAAACAAATGTGAGCAAAACTGTTTATAATGTCAACACCCAAGTGCATGCTATTATTTACAATAGTGTGGACTTCTTTTAAATTATCTCAACAATAAAAGAAGCATTTATTAGCATGAATAAGAAAGACATGATGGGTCTAAAATTTCAAGTTTTTTTTATCACATTTCTAAATATTCCCAATTTACAATTCATGGACATGGCAATTGACTACAGCTAACTAAAATATGCCATTTATTTTACTTTCAACATAAATAAATCTGTTTCATAAGATCTTGCTAATGACAGATCCCTGAAATTTATTTCAAATATTTTACCTTTTTGTACGGCTCTGGATCTTCATCATCTGGACAGCCATCTTCTAACAATGGATGTAATGTCTGCAAAATTAATGGATATTTTTAATATAGATTTAAGATTTTTTAAAGTATTTTCTAATAGAATTATAGCCCATCTATGTTATAATTAAACAAAAATACAAAGGTAGTTTCAGATCTACAATTTTTTAACTTCTGCAGAATTACATGTCATCAACTTACTGTGTATATTTTAATGCATCATCCTCAGAAAAAGAAATGAAAATACAACGGAGAAGGCATAATAAGGCCACTTATTTGGACCCTTGAATCCAATATCAACAAGAGGCTGTACAGTGACAGCAAACCGGATTTTCCTGCAGAGGTCAAACCCTGAACAGTTGAGCAAGTATGGACACAACATTTAAGCTTAAAACAGCTCTGAATTTGGATCGTGATTGAATATTATCTAATTAATAATGAAAATGATATTTGCAAATCTGAACCCCAAACAGGATGATGTAAAAACTTCATAACACATATGACTTAAAGAAAATAGTTATAAAGAAATTTTGACAACTAATGACTAAAATTAATTGAACAGAATCCATATACTTATTTTATCATTACTGGTTCATGGAATAAGTTTGAGTTATTTCCCTTTGAACAGAAATATGGTTTAACTAATAAAGCAAACATAGTTCTCTAAAATTAGATATGATTTAACTCTCTAAAATTAGATATGATGTTACACAATGTATATCTATTTTCAAATTTTAATCAAATATAATTAATAGTTCCAAATATTTTTTCTTTCATTTGTCATAAACTAGCATAGATCTGCAACTTATCTATCAATGTCAACAACTTTATCTACACAATGTAATGTAATGAAATATATCCTTTAATAAAAATAGATTATTATCTAATTAAAGGAGTTCACTTCATAAAAAAAAAATTATATATATAGCATTCAAAAAATTAGTTTATATAGAATAACAAACAAACCTACCACAAAATTTTTCAAACAATTTACCAAAGAAAAGAAAAAAAATCCAAAATTTCATTTATCATTTATACAATGTTTTTTAAACCTCTCTTAAAAAATGAGTTATTTCCCTTTGTACAGAAATGGAATAATTCATCAAAAATTGAACTCTTGGGAAAGGGCTATAACTCAACAACTAGAAAAGCTAAAATCGTAAAAATTGAACTTGACATTCATTTATATATATATATATAATTAGTCACAGGAAACAACATATCTAAATTTGGAAAAATTTCGTCAAAGAGTTTTCATGTTATTGAATGGACACTGTTTGACAGCCGCCCACCAGCCGGCCCATTCCCCCACCCGCCCGCCAGCCCGCCGTACATCCCCAAATCAATAACCGATTTATCCTTCTAAAATCCAGTTAAAAAGTAATATAAATCTACCAAATAACATCCTTCACATGTGCAAAAGACATAATTTTGAAATGCTTGAAAACATTTCCTACTTTTGCTATTTCAAATAATGGTTGTTAGCATACCTCCTCCTATGTCGAATTTTTTTTAAATTGAACACTTCCAAAAACAAGAAAATAAGACACAAAAGATAAACACAAGTGTACCTTTAGAGGCATCTTTGGTGAATCTTCAGCCAGACCAATTTCATCAAGTACAACAACAGACACAAATCTGTCTAGATTTTTATCTTTTTGATAAGCTGCACATTGTCTAAATGTTCCAACAATACCCTCAGGAACTGATATAGGACTGCACTGGTAAGATATCATTTGAACCTAAAAATAAATAAGAAATAACACTGAAATCTTTCACTTCTTCATATACTATTAATCAAAGAGCTGAAAGCTCTGAGGAAAAATGACGCCACTGTCTCTAATATTGTGATATTTTTTATGCAAGTCTTGATTTTCACATACTGTAATTAGTTTAACATTCCAACATGTCTCATCAGCATATAATTGATATTCGTATATGTGTGTGTTATGTGAAGATGACAACTGGCTGTTTTTTTAGTACAAATGTATAGGTCAAGACTACCTGAAAGATCTACAGTATCCAATGACTACTGGCTGTTTTTTTTCTATAAATAAATAGGTCAAGACTACCACAATGATCTACAATATCCAATGACTACTGGCTGTTCTTTTGTACTAATAAATAGGTCAAGACTATTTGAATGATCTACAATATCCAATGACTACTGGCTGTTCTTTTGTACATATAAATAAAGACTACCTGAATGATCTAAAGTATTCTAAGTAATGTGATTTTTGTCTTGCAATTACATTTTTCTAAATCAAGAATATAGACTACTAGTATCCTTTTCAAAGCAAATGATTATGAAGAGCCTGTTGTTATCAAGCTCTTATACCCCACATACTCATTAAATAAGTTACTAGTGACCTAGTTATTTCTGTTACTTGAAGCAAATTATATTTCTGTAGATTTAGACAATAGTATAATATTGTTTTACTAGTTTTATTTCACCTTGAAGATTAGACAAATAGGGATACTCCTTTGATTTTTTATTTCATGTCAGTCAGGTCGCTTTATATGAAACTTGAAACCACTTCTCTGCCATATTGTTATTTCATAACAACTCTGCCCTTGACCATGTTGACCCATGTAATTGATATTCATTCTTTAACCATATATCATAGTCAGTTAGTTTTTGATTTTGCACTCCCACACCACCTTTCAGGTCAAATGTCTGTCTCCATTTAAGTTAATGACATTGAACAATCATGGTATTAAACACAATTCCAATAGTGATAATGCTGTTCTAGTAGGTCACCATATATTCAACTCGGGTAGCATTCCAGTTATTGAAATTTGTGTCAGATTAGAACAATGATCTAGACCTTTAGGAATGGATCTTACAATTTAATATGGAGCCATAGTATGGGACCCCTACACGGTAATAAAAAAAAAAATCAAAGCACTGTAAGCGCTGTAGGCAGTTAACCAAAAACCAAGGCAAACATAATTATGAAAACTGTGGCTATGTTGCTTCATTTTTTTTTAAGATTTAAAAGAACAAACATTAAACATTCATATATTGTTCATTTATGTTCATTTAATGAATTAATTATTAAGGTAAATAATTCATATTTTATCAAGGTTTTCAAAAGCAACACATATATCAAGTATATTTTTAATGGTCATGTGTCATGTGTCTGCAGTGGTACAAGTTCGAAATGATTGCAGTTGTTCTAGTTGATAGTTAACGTTGGTATTAGTTGACTGTTAGTAGTTCAAGTTGACTTAGTACGAGCTTGTAATAGTATGCATGGACTTGCTTCCCTGGAAAGAAAACTGAGTTTGTGTTCTACAGTGCAAAAGTTATGAGACACAAATCAGACAAATGTTTACTACTACGGGGATCAAAGGTGAGGTCTGACTGACCTGCCCATAGTAAATGTAAATGACCCCCGCCTTCACCCCAAATCCATGATGTCTAAGTTTGGAATAAAATGACAAGTGATTATAATAAAGTTGGTCAAACATTCTTGGGCTTGAAAGATATGTTTTCTTTAAAATGAGCAATATTAAAATGAAATTTTTTATAGAACCAGAAATTATTCAAAATATAATTAAGGTAAATTCTTTAAACCTACTCATTTTTTGCATCAATAAAATTTTATAATAAACAAGAAATACTTGTAACAGAATGCTGTTACGAAGTCTCCCAAACAAAGCTCTCATAATTATTCATTCCCATGGTCGCCTGACATTGGGCAAAGTCTAGTACACATTGATTAGGTCTAGTAAGTGATATGCATAGGTGATGCCTATGAGATTGACCTTGTATGTCCATCAAATCTGTTTGAAATGACGAACAGGAATGAATATGGTTAAGGAGTTGGTATCTCAAACTTTTACAAGTTCTTGAAACACACACAAGAGGGGATGGGGTGACCTTAGGGACTACCCCTATATTTCATTTGATTTTTTATGTTGTCCCATACATGAATATATATATGGTTTAGGGGTGGGGATCTCGACCGTTGTCAAGTTTTCAAACAGGAGGGGGTGGGGTGACCCCAGTGACTTCCCCTATATTTCATTTGATTTGTTATATTGCCAAATACATGAGTAAATATGGTTTAGGGGTGGGGATCTCATCTGTTTCCAAGTTATTAAACAGGAGCGGGTAGGGTGAACCTTAGGACTCTCCCTATATTTCATTTGATAAGTTCTGCTGTCCCATACATGAATATATATGGTTTAATTTAGAGGTCGGGATCTCGACTGTTTCCAAGTTCTCAAACAGGAGGGGTGGGGTGACTGCAGGGACTCCCCTATATTTCATTTGATTTGTTATATAGTCCCATACATGAGTATATATGGTTTCGGGGTGAGGATCTCGACCATTTCTAAGTTCTCAAACAGGATGGTTTACAGTGACCATAGGAGCTGCCCCTATATTTCATTTGATTTGTTATATTGTCCCATACATGAATATATATGGTTTAGGGTGGGGATCTCGACCGTTTTCAAATTCTCAAACAGGAACGGGTAGAGTGGCCCCAAGCACTCAACCTATATTTCATATGATTTGTTATATTGTCCCATACATGAATATATATGGTTAAGGGGTGGGGATCTCCACCGTTTCCAAGTTCTCAAACAGGAGGGGTGGGGTGACCCCCAAGGACTCCCCCTATATTTCATTTCATTTGTTATATTGTCACATACATGAATATGTATGGTTTATGGGATCATTATTTTTTTGTATGCTCCAATGAACAAATTATGTCTTTAAGAGAAAGGTATATACCTACATATTACACACAAAATCCTTCCCAATTGAAACTTACTGGTCTATTATCACACTGTAACGTGCCACTGCTAACAAAAGTGTGCATGTTTCTAAGACATATTGAAAAAATATTTTCATAATACAAAGCATGTTACAATAACTTCATATCCACGTTGCAATTAAGAATTTTGCAAACAAATCAACCAAATATGGTTTATTTCAATTTTATTGTATGATATCACTTATTTATTTATTGTGTGTTTTGCTTGTAAATGTATAAGTATATATGTAATTGTTAATGTATAATTGTTATCCTCTAGTAGCACCATACGTGTGCTTAAGTTTAAATAAATTGTCTTGTCTTGTCTTGGGATCTTGACCGTTTCCAAATTCTCAAACAGGAGGGGTGGGGTGACCGCAGGGACTCCCTCTTTATTTCATTTGATTTATTATATTGTCCCATACATGAATATATTTGGTTTAGGGGTGGGGATCTCGACCATTTCAAAGTTCCCAAACAGGAGGGTTGGGGTGACCCCAGGGACTCCCCTGTATTTCATTTGATTAGTTATATTGTCCCATACATGAATATATATGGTTTAGGGGTGGGGATCTCGACTGTTTCCAAGTTCTCAAACAGGAGGGGTGGGGTAACCCTAGGGACTTCCCCCTATATTTCATTTGATTAGTTATATAGTCCCATACATGAATATATATGGTTTAAGGGTGGGGATCTCATCCGTTTCAAAGTTATCAAACAGGAGGGGGTAGAGTGACCCAAAGGATTCCACCTATATATCATATGATTTGCTTACATTCAGGTATCATATGATATAGTTGCACTATTTGCGAAAACAAAGTAAGAAACTTCCAGCTATTTCAACTGACCCTTCAAAATTGAGAAAAAAATTGCAGTAATATGTTTACACTTTAAAAGCATCTTACATGCATTATCAACATTTATCACTGATAAAGAAGATTTATACTGTCACCAGGAACATATATATTGTTAGATATACTGTTCCCAGCTGTCACATTGTATTGGATTTTGACATTAAAATTTGTCAAAAAGTAATTTTGAGTTTCTGTATCAAATATTTTTTGCTTTTTCTTTCTTTTACATATATCTTTTGGTTTCCATTTCTAGTGTTTATATTTATTTACCATGCATAGATGTATTTTGTCACCTGCCTGAAATTTTTTTTTTTGTAGTTGATCTCCAAAACCCGGAATTACCCTTATCCGCTTCCGGAATCGGACCCGATATTGTAATTGTCTACACGGCATCCATTGTTTTTCAATGTTGTTTTTGTCAGTCAGATACGATTTTACTCGAATTTACACATTACTTGTCGGCGATTATCTGTATAAAGCTAGCGGTTGAACAAAATGAACATCGCTGTCATGAATAATAAAGATGAAAATAAGTTTTGAGATCGTTTATTTAGAGACTTTGGTAAAAAGGTTTGCAAAGTTATTTTTAATTTTCTTTCAAGTGAAAGGTCCGTCGGGCGTAGCTAGTAACCAAGTCGAGAGTCCGATTGCAAAAGTGGAAGGTCGCGGACCTCGGACCACCGCTAATTTGAACCCCTGCCTCCAAATTGAAAAGATACGAAAATTTCGTCTTCTAATTTGAAATTGCCGCCAACAGCATGAACAGTTGAACTTATTAATAGACTACTGACGTAGTTGTACCACGTATTGACGACAAACAATATTCCTACGACTTTTGCCATTTGGGAAATCTAAACTACTTGTCTTTAAAGATTTTCGGCGATTAAATATTTCATACAATTGTTCTTTGACATCTTAGCCAAAAGCACAGGGGATAATAAACTACATAAGGATTCCTAATGTGCTCTACTTCCTATGTGCAACTTCAAAACTTTTGGGTGGTTCGACGATCATTTAAGGTTTTTTCTGGTCATATTTTTGTAACCCAGAATTAAAAGTATGAAAAAACTATTCAATTAGTTATAAATAACATTATATCCAGCTAGATAATAACAATGGCACGTATTTCAGCATTTATTGGGTAGAACACAAATCTAGGGTGCTCGCATAAGGCAGCTTAACTGCCTAACAAGCTTGAAAAGATACAACGTCAAGCGGCAAAATCTATCACCAGAAATTACAAGTCAAGAGAGGATGGACGGGATACGTCTCTAAAATGCTTGCCTAACTGGAACTACAACAAGATCTCCAGACAAGACGAACAAGGAGTTGAAGCTAGAAGTTAATATTTATGTAAAAAGTAGTTGAGGGGCTGATTCCCGCTATTGAACCATACTGTCATTCTATAATATTATTGCGTAAGTATTTCTGTATTGTCCTTGTTATTGGTCCATGTCTTGGTGTATTGGTCTGAGGCGAAGCCGAAGGCCAATACTGCTGGCCGAGGACCAACAATAAGGCCAATACAGAAATACATGTAATAGTATCTTTATTAATTAACTACAGTGTTACAATATTTTTTTATTTCATTTCACAAGAGATAAACATTTTTACCTTGAAGTGGAACTATCCAAATCTCAGTTTCTTTTTATAAGATGCAATATCTAATGATTTGGTGCCGTTTCCATGCATCTTCAGCCTTTTCTCATCTGATGAATTTTTCTACCCTTTCCAGTCACTATAAAGTGTTACAACTTTAATTTAGACACAACACATAAATAGTAATTGGAAAGGTACTGCCATTGCATGTGTAATGCAAATATATTTAAAAAAAAAATAATGTAGGAGTTGAAATTGATACAACTATCCATAAGCCAATTGACCAAAGAACGAAGATTTGCGCAATTACAGAATGCATATGCCTGGTTCGGGTTTAAAAATAAAAGACCGTTTACAAAACATGAGAAGCGAAAGTGAACAGTAAAAATCGACATGATGAAATTATGAGGTCGTCAAGAAATGAACTTTGTGATAATTTACTCGTTCCCTAAACCTGAAATATTTCCATCGTCTACTTTCAAAATGCTTTTCAAATGAATGGGACCGTCTTTAACCTAAAATATATGCCATACTGAACGTTTCAGCTTGTTTATGGTGAGTAAATAAAAACTGCGTCGTACAAACAACTGTTTACTTTCAGTTTGAGTTTATCGTGACTTACGATCTAAAAACTAGAGACGTTCCGAAATCCTGTTTTGGCCGGATCAGAACTCGGCCAATACGGAAAACAAATCTGTATTGGCCGAGTTGACATCTTATATTGCATATGCAGTTTTCATCATTTTAAGTACAATAACAGTGTAGTTAATTAATAATGATACAGTTACAGACTCTGCTGCTATAACTTTGTGAACAAAGATTCATACGCACCGTGTGGGTATAACCGTATTACTAATTTCCGATTATTAAAATCTTCGTAAATCTTGATAAAGACCAGTTTCTATCCAATGGATATCAAAATGATTCCGATTATTACTTTTTTAATGATTGTAAAGTTGAAATGGCATGAAAGGCTGACATTATTTAGGAGAACTATTTTGTCTAGCAATTGCTGATCATTGGAGGGTAAAAAGTCCAACACCATAACAAAACGGATCTATTTATCATGTATACATACCGATTGTTTACGATTGTAAGACATGTGCATAAAAGTGAAAGCTCGAATAAATATGAAAAATATAACAAAGGGATAGCTCCAAATACCATTTAATAACAAAAAACATATGGACAGGTCAAGATATCTTTTTGGTAAATAAAATAACGTATGTAAACTGGTTCCCGTCCGACTACAACACTTTAACAAAGACTTTGTTCGAGTGTAGCGTAATACAAGCAGATTCCAGTTAGTATGTAAAATAGTAAATATGAAACCGAGTGCGGTAGGCGGAGGCATAATCAACTTCCGTTAGTTCTGGTCAATGGTATCGGAAACATGCCGCTGATAGCGTCATTTTCCAAAAAAATCCTCCTTGTAAACTCTATGTTTATTTGAGTTGGTTGTATTAATTTTTGGTTGGGGTCTTTACATTCTACATTTTTAGGGTTGCAGTATTATAGGCTGAGGAATAGGAGTGAAAAATGAGCAAAAAATCCATACTGTATAGTGAGTTTAAACTTTAACAACCATGCAGGCAAGTGAATAGGTAGGGTCAAAGACTGAAATACTTTTTTTTTTCATTGCTAAAGTGAGTAAGGCAAAGCAAAACAAATTTTCTTCCAGTTAGTTCAGTGGAAGAATGGTTTGAACCTCATATAAACCAAAGGCAATGTTGGATACAAAATATAAGATAGCAACCCAACAACACAATAAAACAATAAATAGACAAGTAGGAGTCAACATGTGGTCTACATCAATAAGCAATTATATAAAAATTAACTGTGAATAAAAAAATTGAAGACTACCATAGATCTCTCATCAACAGCATAACAGAAAATGTACCAAAAAAACATACCTGTTTATAGTTTTTGAAGAGAGCTTTATGTGCAGCATTTCCTTGCATGGCGTCTGCTACTATTGTCTTGGCCAGTGATTTAGAACTACCTGGTTTACCAACTAGAAACATAGGGATCCTTAATTCTATGCAGACTACCATCATAAAAACATTCTCTTTCAAGGCTTGGTTCTTTGCTATATTCTCTGCCAGTTCTACACTGTCTAAAAATACTTTCTGGCATCTGTAATGGGTATAAATATCTATGTAGAACAAGTTCAATTTTCATATAACAGTATATACAAAGAAATATGTGGAAAATCTGTCAATGAAATCAAGGATTCAAAGATAATAGTTATAGTGGTCCAACATTTACTTTAAAAAATACATCATGTACTCTTTTTCATATATGTCATAATAAATTGGTCTTTCTGCACATACAATTTCCTTTTTATAGATTTTGCATATCTTATACTGATTAAAAGGTCTGGCCCAGATTGTCATTGGTGATGACCAGATGAAATATATCATATCTCTAATACTGTGGATTCATTTTATTCATGGATACCAATTTTCGTCAATAAAAAACAAAATGTATTTTTGGGGATAATTGATTTCATGGATTTGCCAAAGTCTGTATACAAGCTTTAAGAAAACGTGGACTTTGTTGGATATTTAAATTTTTTGCCATGAAAATTGGTATCCTAAGAATAATATAATAAATGCACAGTAAATCTTTTGACAGACATTTCGTGACATCTACACAGTCATGGCTGATTGATGTCAAAATACAAAATATACAATGAATAAAAAATAAAATTCATATCGCTCGCCCAAAATCCTCATACCAATACATATATCTTGTGACTGATTTGTGACATATGTAAAACCACACATGACATTAAATAATTAGCTAAATTGTCACTTCAAATGTAATGATTCTGTGAATGAAAGAAAATGTGAGATATTCCTCAATGAGACAGCATTCTAACAATACAAACAACATAGAAATATGTCAGTAAAACAAGTAATTTGTAGTCCTAAATATAACTTTTCTATCGAAAGAACAAAATACTATACTTTATTATTTCCTCTTCAATTTGGACAGCACCTCCTGGTAACTGTAATGGTGGTCTGAAATATTGAGCTACTGTTTCTCTGTATTCTTCTCTGTTTTTCAGACAGGCATGGTAGCAGACTCCAAGGGCAAGTACCAGTGATCTGGTTACTTCATCCATATTCTGAAAATGTGATTCAATGCTTAAGTTCAATTAATTAAAGATATTTAGTGTGAGACACAGACGGTTGACCCATCCTTAAATACAACACTCAAAAGGGTTTAACTGTTGTCAGCAATTAATAAGACAAAAAAATAGAATTCAACTTAAACAAACAAGTTCTAGCGTGAAATTTAGCATTTGTTAATGTCACACTGACCAAAACAAGACAGAATTATATAGTACCATGTAAGAACCTTTGAAAGATGACAAATCTGTATCACAGATCTATTAACAAGGGTTTTGTACAATTGAACCTGATTGCTTTAAATCAAGTCACTCAAACATCAAATATGTGGCAAGTCTTAGTGACTTAAATGTAGATGAACATGTAATGTAATATATAAATATTAGAAAAGAAACAGACATCATTTGATTAATTAAATTCTTGGCTTGCTGTCTCAATGATGTATCACTTAATTCATTTGTATATGATCAGACAAATGTATATGTCCTTTCCATATATTTGTGAATGGGGCATACTTGCCAACCCTCCTGTTTTGAGCGGGAATCTCCAGCGCAAACAACGAAATTCGGGAAATCTCCCGCTTTCAGATATTTTGACCTGGAATAAACCATGTTCGTAATTCTCTGGTTTTTTCAGTACTTTCAATAGAAATAAATAAACAATCAGCGATCATTTGAAAACTTTGGTCAGTAGTTTTTATGTTCGATATATAGTATAAGTAATAGAAATTCAGTTTTGCTATGTCAACTCCAACAAGATAGAGGTCTTTATCTTGACCAAGCGGCAGATAAAAAAGAAGAAATAGATAACTGCAAATCGAAATGTCAAGCAGATTTGAATGAAAGATTTTCAATTTTTACGACCAAGTTCACTTGGCAATGAATCTTTTTGCACATCATGTTCAATCAACTTTTCGATTTCTTCTTGTGGTCTGTACGATGTTTAATTTGAAAGCATGCTTAGTGTGAGACTTTCAACAAAATCAAAATATGGAATGTTATGATTTATGAGACTCAGAGGTATTGAAAAAGGCTAAAAAAACACCTTGTATAGATTATAACCATGAATTGAAGAAATAAATATAATTGTTATCTCTTATTGGTGTTTTGTAGATGAATACGTAAATAGGTCATATATTTAACTTGAAAATGTCGTTCGTGCAAAATCTCTGAGGGGAGATCTCCCTCTTTGAAGGTTTCAGAGGTTGGAAGGTATGATGGGGTACCCGTATGAAAGAAGAATTTTACGAACCATCTTTCTTTTTTTCAATTTAAAATCAATTCTACATACTGACTTGAATATTAGAAGTATAAACTGTATACCTGTTGTGGTTGTTCCATTTCCATGGTCTCGTCTTCTGATTCTGCATCAGAGTAATCTGAATCTTGATTCATTTTTTGGAACAATGAATTATCATCTTCACTTTGTCTATGGAACCAACTCATGACTTCTAAAACTCTCTCCACATCTCTTAAACTGACAAAACTACATTCATCCTAGTGTAGACATAATAAAATAAAAATATCAAGGTCAAAGGGCAGATTTATTCGTTTCTAGTGCATATTCTTTTTGTCCTGTAATTTCTTTGTTTTAAATGTACTTTGAAATTTCTGTTATCAATTTTTTTTGTGCATAATCTTTCTGTACTTTCATTGTAATATATAAACTTTGAAATTTCTCTTAAAAATATTTGCTGCCAAAATAATATTTTAATACAATTTAGGAACACACCTAACCTAGTAGAATGTCTAATGTGAAGGACTAGTGAGAGTGTCTGATACCTTTTTACAACTTGCAGCTCTGACCCTAAATTTAGACTTTTAATTTCTTTATTTTAGATGAAATAAAAGAAGAAAATTCTGACCTTTACTCAAATTATAATTTGATTTGTGAAATACAACTATTTTTCATACTAGAAGAGGCTGAAGTAATTTTTATTGTATATATCAAAAGAGCATATTACCTTCTGATTTCTCATGAAGTCTTGAGATACTGTCAATATTTTACTGACCACATCCTCCAGTCCTTGGATTGCTGGAAGTTTCTGATTCTTTGTCTACAGAAAACAAAACATATCTTTATTATAGTTTATTCAAACTTAAACCTCAAAGGGGGGTCCTTTGCCTTTTGAAAGGAGAGGGTAAAGAGTTTCAATCCTTGAGTAAACAAATGATGAATAGGAAACCATGACTTTGTTACTGAAAATGACCTGTTGAAGTCAACTGTCCTCTATTAAAACTTTGATAAAAGCCTGTTTGTATAATCCTATATACAATATCAAAAATTTATGTGAAAAAAATTATTCCTTTACAGACTTTACACTTAATCATATGACATAGCTGAGCTATATCCCAAATTTCAATATTATACAAGATGGCAGAAACACATCAATTTTTTTAATAAGACTATATATTAGCATCTTGTGATTTTTTTAAAAAATTTGGCATATTTCTATAATTCATATATTTATACAGCCATAAATGTCAAACACCAATATCTGTGGACTAACTGAATCCTTCATTAAAACTAATTTCTATTTTCCTTTTTGACATGCTTTTTTACTTCTAGGGACAAGATAAAAATAATTTTTATTGCTGCTCTTTATCTTTAAAGTTTCTCTGTAGTTCTTAAATGATTTAGAAGCCTAATACATACATATCTTAGGACCATCTGCCTGATGTACATTTCTTCTACTTCTGTATTCAGTTGTCCAAAGTCCCAGACCAAAGGTAACATGCTCTGTGGTAAGGGCTGCACTCTATACACCAAGCGTCTCATTGGAACACGACCTGAAATGTAGGGAACATTTGGTAGTTAATTCATCATGAATGAAACTCATAATTTACAAACCGATAAATAATTAAGCCCGCCTCCAAATGCGTGATTTTCTTGCTGTGTTGAAGACCCATTGTTGGCTTTGGGCTGTTTTCTGCTCTTTGTTGGGGTTGTTGTCTCTTTGTCACATTCCCCATTTCCATTCTCAATTTGAATAGTATTATTTCACATGATAACAATTGTTCAGTGCAATGAGGATGGGAAGGTCAACACAAAATACTCATTTATATGACTATGAAGAGACTGTTAATCAGAAGGATTCAAATGATGACTGTCTATTAAAACAACAAAGGAAAATTAGTTAAAAATAAAGTGATTCAAAAACAAACTTTACTTAAAAAAATACAAATTTAATTCCCAATCATCATTGTTAGTATAGCTTAATAAAAAGTGCTTTTTCTTCATTTGCAAAAGAGAGTGTGAGATTTTTCAAACCCTGATTATCAGTGTTAAAATTGCACCATTCACAGTGAATGTTTTTACATTTGCCATGAATTAAAGTCTACTCCTCAGAAAAGCAGGCCTTGCGGTCACAAAACTTTGGAGCACAATTATCATACTCAGACTCAGAAATTAACCAATCAAAATACTGGATTTGTTGTTACAAGCACAAATTTTGTACTCAGAGTACTGAGTAAAGTTTATGACCGAGAGCCCATATGTCCCCTTTTCCTTAAGTAGCTGAAAGAAGGCTGATTAGTAGATCAAAGTATATACCTAGTTTGTCTGTTGTTTTGTCAGCGTCGACATGATAACCAAGTCCTGCTTGTTCTAATCTTTTGATAAGTTCATCAGAATGTCTGAAAAGAAAACATAACATGCAGTTAAAATATTTCTTGTATAAACAAACTCATTACACTATTACACTAAAAAGTTTCAAAAGTTGTAAAGAATTTAAACTGAACCATGTCTTTCTTGTAGACATAATGGATATTTGTAACTTCTATTTAACTTAAACATAGTAAATGATTGAAAATGAAGTCAGTAAATATGAGGGGGTATGGAAGTAGAGTTAAAGAGACACAAGTTAACAAAGAAATACATCTTCAATACATGTTGGTTATAAAACATGGTCTTGAGGGTAACAATATTAACTGGAAGTATACAATACTTGAATACTTTAAAATGGTGAATATTTAAATAGTAACTTCACTGTAGTTTATATGTGTTCACTTCAGCTTGAATTTTAGGACTGAAACATAGTGATTGCTGGTGAGGGGAGGTGATCACACCCTTATATACCAAGATACTTCAGAGTCACAATCAACAATCATTAACAACCAAAAAAGATTTTCATTTAAGCTACCTTGTGTGTGCTGAACTGTTTGACAGGAGGAGTTGGGTTTTGGTGTTCAGTATCATTTGTTGTACTATAGGATTAGACGCCTTTTCAAAGGAATTTATTGTCTGAAGGACTTTTATGATATGTTTGTGAGTGACTTGGTCCAGTTTATATACCAATAAATTCCTTTAAAAAAGGCCTTTAATCCTTGTAATTCTTTAAAATTGGAGATCAGAAATTTAATTTCCCCACTCGTGACCTCTATCACACGTAAATTGCATTTTTCTGTCATTGAATTGGCCTGGCGCATGTATATATTTTTTGGTTAATGCAAAAAAAATGTACTCCCTAAAATTTGCTATTTATTAAAAATAAACTTCAAAAATAACTTAATATCATTCAAAACAATGTTTTGTGTTTACTACTTAATTCAACGATGAATGTGAAGTAAAAATAAAATATTTTTAACGTCCCTGCCATCATGTTTACATTGGTTACAAAAAGTAGTTCTGTCAACATCATCTTTCAAAAAATAACTAACGTCAAGAGCCACTACCAGAAGCCTTCTAGACCAATCATATTAACGTATTCCCTAATATGCAAATCATATAAGAATTATTGTAAAATATTTTTGGCAATTCCTGATACCCTTTTTTTATGTATATGAAATGGCCTGTAACTGTCTATGTCTTTGTCCCTTTGGTATCTGGATTGCTGTCTCAATGGCAATCAAATCACATCTCCTTATTTCTACCAGAAACTTACTTTCTATAAGGATTACATGCAGCCACGATTTTCAGTTTTTCATGCAGTTTGATTGGTTTTCCCTCCAAAGATCTATCACACATAATTTCCTTGATCACACCAATAGCTTCTGTTGTGTTAGCTTCATCAAAAAATAATACAGTGTCCATGAATGGGTAATCTGCTGCATTCTTCCTTGCCATTTCTTCTGCTTTTCTTACTTTCCTTTTGATATCAGATACTTTGGTCCCACCATGAACCTATTGGACAGATATATGGATTAAAATAGGCAGGGTCTCAATCCTCTTAGAGCTTAATGCTGAATTGCAAAATTGATTAAAACTGCAAAACCAAGCATTTGCAAAAAAAATCAATTTCCCTCAATCCACAAAACGGGTACCCAAACAATAAAATGAACCAGTAGTATCAAAGTCAATTTAAATTCAACAGTGATTCTAAAATGATGGATTTTAAATGCTGTGAATACACCCGTGGTAAATTATGAATATATTGATATGTCAGCGGATTGTCAATGTCCTCATGATGGATTGTTTGAGCTGTTCCAATCTTACTCCTGTGTCGTTTGCTTTTTATGAATGAATTATCTGAGGTCAGATGGTGTAAATGACATCATTGAACAAGAGGCTCTCAAGAGCCTGAATCGCTCACCTGTTATTCTTTTTTTGCTTAAATCTTTCATCAATGATTATTTTTGCTTTTTACCCATATGTTCCATTTTAGCCATAGTGTCTATGTTTCTTGACGTACAAGGAAATGAAGTACAAAATTTATACTAGATTCATTTGAGAAGATTTTTAAAGTTAAAAAACATATAACAACTTGTGTAAAATTGTCCTTAAAGGGCAATAACTCCTAAAGGGGTCAATTGACCATTTTGGTCATATAAAACTTTTTTGTAGATCTTACTTTGCTGAACATTTTTGTTGTTTACAGTTTATCTTTATCTTCAATAATATTCAAGATAATAACCAAAAACTGCAAAATTTCCTTAAAACAACCAATTTAGTGGCAGCAACCCAACAATGGGTTGTTCGGTGTGTCTGAAAATTTCAGGGCTGATAGATCTTGACCTTTGGAACATATTTACCCCATGTCACATTTGCTCTAAATGTTTTAGTTTCTGAGATATAAGCCAAAAACTGCATTTCACCCCTATGTTCTATTTTTAGCCATGGCGGCCATGTTTGTTGATGGATCAAAATTTCGGATACAATTCATAAACTAGATTCCTAAAGGAACATGCATTCAAAGTTAAGAAGTATTAGGCACAATAGTTTCAGAAGAGAAGATCTTTAAATGTTAGCAAACTTGATGAACAAATTGTGTAAAATTGTCTTTAAAGGGCAATAACTCCTTAAGGGGTCAATTGACAATTATGGTCATATTAACTTTTTTGTCGATCTTACTTTCCTGAACATTATTGCTGCTTACAGTTTATATATATCTATAATAATAATATTCAAAATAATAACAAAAAACTGCAAAATTTTGTTAAAACTACCAATTCGGTGGCAGCAACCCAACAATGGGTTGTTCGATTCCTCTGATAATTTCAGGGCCGATAGATCTTGACCAATTAAACAATTTTACCCCATGTCACATTTGCTCTAAAAGATTTAGTTTTTGAGATATAAGCCAAAAACTGCATTTGACCCTTATGTTCTATTTTTAGCCATGGCGGCCATGTTTGTTGATGGATACAAACTTCGGATACAATTTATAAACAAGATACCCTAAGGAACATTTAGTTAAAGTTTGAAGGTAATTGGCCCAGTAGTTTCAGAGGAGAAGATTTTTAAATGTTAGCAAACTTGATAAACAAATTGTGTAAAATTGTCTTTAAAGGGCAATAACTCCTTAAGGGGTCAATTGACAATTATGGTCATAGCAACTTTTTTGTAGATCTTACTTTCCTGAACATTATTGCTGCTTACAGTTTATATATATCTATAATAATATTCAAATTAATAACAAAAAACTGCAAAATTTTGTTAAAACTACCAATTCGGTGGCAGCAACCCAACAATGGGTTGTTCGCTTTCGTCTGAAAGTTTCAAAGCTGATAGATCTTGACCAATTGAACAATTTTACCCCATGTCAGATTTGCTCTAAAAGATTTAGTTTTTGAGATATAAGCCAACTAGAGGCTCTTAAGAGCCTGTGTCGCTCACCTTGGTCTATGTGCATATTAAACAAAGGACACAGATGGATTCATGACAAAATTGTGTTTTGGTGATGGTGATGTGTTTTGGTGATGGTGATGTGTTTGTAGATCTTACTTTACTGAACATTCTTGCTCCTTACTATTATCTCTATCTATAATGAACTTGGCCCGGTAGATACAGTGGAAAATACTTTGTACAAATTTACAAAAATTTACAAAATTTATGAAAATTGTAAAAAATTGACTATAAAGGGCAATAACTCCTTAAGGGGTCAATTGACAATTTTGGTCATGTTGCCTTATTTGTAGATCTAACTTTGCTGTACATTATTGCTGTTTACAGTTTATCTCTATCTATAATAATATTCAAGATAATAACCAAAAGCTGCAAAATTTTCTTAAAATTACCAATTCAGGGGCAGCAAACCCAACAATGTGTTGCCTGATTGGTCTGAAAATTTCAGGGCAGATAGATCTTGACCTAATGAACAATTTTATCCCCATGTCAGATTTGCTCTAAATGCTTTGGTTTCAGAGATATGAGCCAAAAACTGCATTTTACCCTATGTACTATTTTTTAGCCATGTCGGCCATCTTGGTTCGCGGGCGGGGTCATCGGACACATTTTTTAAACTAGATACCCTTATGATGATTGTGGACAAGTTTGGTTAAATTTGTCTTAGTAGTTTCAGAGGAGAAGATTTTGTAAAAAATTACAAAAATTTACGAAAAATGGTTAAAAATTGACTATAAAGGGCAATAACTCCTTAAGGGGTCAACTGACAATTTTGGTCAATTTGATTTATTTGTAGATCTTATTTTGCTGAACATTATTGCTGTTTACAGTTTATCTCTATCTATAATAATATTCAAGATAATAACCAAAAACGGCAAAATTTCCTTAAAATTACCAATTCAGGGGCAGCAACCCAACAACGGGTTGCCTGATTGGTAAGAAAATTTCAGGGCAGATAGATCTTGACCTAATGAACAATTTTATACTCAACAGATTTGCTCTAAATGCTTTGGTTTCAGAGATATGAGCCAAAAACTGCATTTTACCCTATGTACTATTTTTTAGCCATGTCGGCCATCTTGGTTCACGGGCGGGGTCATCGGACACATTTTTTAAACAAGATACCCTAATGATGATTGTGGACAAGTTTGGTTAAATTTGTCTTAGTAGTTTCAGAGGAGAAGATTTTTGTAAAAGATTACAAAAATTTACGAAAAATGGTTAAAAATTGACTATAAAGGGCAATAACTTCTTAAGGGGTCAACTGACCATTTTGGTCAAGTTGACTTATTTGTAGATCTTACTTTGCTGAACATTATTGCTGTTTACAGTTTATCTCTATCTATAATAATATTCAAGATGATAACCAAAAACGGCAAAATTTCCTTAAAATTACCAATTCAGGGGCAGCAACCCAACAACAGGTTGTCCGATTCATCTGAAAATTTCAGGGCAGATAGATCTTGACCTAATAAACAATTTTACCCTAAGTCAGATTTGCTCTAAATGCTTTGGTTTCAGAGATATAAGCCAAAATCTACATTTTACTCCTATGTTCTATTTTTAGCCATGTCGGCCATCTTGGTTGGTTGGCCGGGTCACCGGACACATTTTTTAAACTAGATACCCCAATGATGATTGTGGCCAAGTTTGGTCAAATTTGGCCCAGTAGTTTCAGAGGAGAAGATTTTTGTAAAAGTTTACGGACGACGGACGCAGGACGACGGACGACGGACGCAAAGTGATGAGAAAAGCTCACTTGACCTTTCAGGTCAGGTGAGCTAAAAACTGCATTTGACCCCTAAGCACCGGTGAGCTAAAAATGAGGATAATTATACAAGTCTTAAAACTATTTTCTTACCTTCATTAAGATCATATTATCAACAGTAGCACCTGGTGGTTGTTGCAGCGAACACATAAACTTTATCAGACGAGTTTTACCACACCCTGTTTCTCCCATGATTATAACTGGTATATCACATCTACAATAGCCAACATAAAATATAATATTTACCAGTTTCAATTTAAACAATGAATTTAATGAAACGCAGGGTTTTAGTTTATTCTATCCGTACCTTCATACCTTATTCAACAGAACAGCTTTCAATTGTTTTAATGGGGATTGCACGTTTGTTGATGTTTAACACCTCTTTCAGGGTCCTTGACTTTATCATGGCTGCAAGTATTATTGGCAGACATCCTTGAAAAATGTTAATTTATTGTTCTAGCTACCAGATTACAAATGTATCTATTCTCTCACAGGGATTTGCCCAGATTGATAAGGAATGTAATTTTTCAATAGGAAATATGTTGCTATAAAACAGTGATCTTCTTTGATGATGGATGTGTAACATTAAACACTAGATAATCAGTAAGAATTGAATAGAAACTTGCAATAAATTTATGACAACAATTTCAGTCATAATTATTTCTTTATATTTTTTTACATTTCAAGAATTTGATGTCCTAATCTTTCAATTAGTAATCAATACTGTATATTTCAAAACAAGAATGTGTCCATAGTACACGGATGCCCCACTCACACTATCATTTTCTATGTTCAGTGGACCCTGAAATTGGGGTCAAAACAATAATTTGGCATTAAAATTAGAAAGATCATAGCATAGGGAACATATGTACTAAGTTTCAAGTTGATTGGACTCCAACTTCATCAAAAACTACCTTGACCAAAAACTTTAACCTGCCCACTCGCATTATCATTTTCTATGTTCAGTGGACCGTGAAATTGGGGTCAAAACTATAATTTGGCATTTAAATTAGAAAGATCATAGCATAGGGAACATATGTACTAAGTTTCAAGTTGATTGGACTTCAACTTCATCAAAAACTACCTTGACCAAAAACTTTAACCTGCCCACTCGCACTATCATTTTCTGTGTTCAGTGGACCGTAAAATTGGAGTCAAAACTCTAATTTGGTATTAAAATCAGAAAAATCATATTATAGGGAACATGTGTATTAAGTTTCAAGTTGATTAGACTTCAACTTCATCAAAAAAAGCGGGATATACGGACGGACGGACGAACGAACGGACGCACAGACCAAAACATAATGCCCATAGGTGGGGGCATAAAAAAAAATTTACCTGAATCTCATATAAATAGCCAGTATCTTTTTAACATTATCTGTGGTCAGTTCATACGTGTCATCGGGGTCATGTGCCATGTCCAGTCCCATCACATTACACAACTTCAGTATCTTCTCATGTCTGTTGATAATATAAATATTAAAACATAAGGTATAAAGGTAAAAACTAATTCATGGGAACACACAAATTATTTATACCAGGTAATGATGAAAATTTACTTCGACTGATCTATGTACATTTATAGTATATGAATTAATTTTCCATATACAGTCAATGCAGTAAAATCATTTTTCTACATATTTTGTAAAAAATAATCTGTCTTGATTTCATGAATATGTTTTGTTCTAATTTCTCTAATAAAAAACAATTGAAACTTTGAGCCGAAACCTCACAAGGTATTTAAATGGATTCACAAAGAGACTTTCATACATGTTGTTTACTTCCGCCTTATTTTGACTAAAAATTCACAAAATCTTTTGAAATAGAGTGACAGTAATTTTATTAGTGAAATTTATTGTCTTAATATCATTTACTTTTTGAAGAGGAGGGAATTTTTGGTAGCAAACAAACCTAGGGAGGGCATCAAAGTTCTCAGCCAGATTGACTCTGTTTCTGCTGAGTGCATCAAACAAGTTCTGCTGCATTATTCCCTCTTCTAGAACATTCTTCGTCTGTAAATCTATCAAGTTACCAGTTCTTCTGTCTATGTTAAATCCAAGGAATGTCATACTATGATGGTCTGGGTTGAAGAATAAGTATGGATGAGGACTACAACAACAACAAAAATGTGTGGTTATGTGTATTCAAAAGAGATCTAACATGTGTCTAGATTAGCCAGCAAATTAATCAAATATCTTATCTAATGCTTATCTAATAAAAAATAAAAGACCAGCAACTTTTGTTGAAAACATTTCATTTGTGCAGATTTTGCAAGCTCCTAAGTAAGAGTGATAAACAGTAAAATTCGTAAGGCCGCAATTAAAAATATCTTTGTTTCCCCTTACCCTACCCACCATTTTGGAAGTGGGTAGGTAGGTAGGCTTTTTTTTTTTTTTTTTAAGAGAAAATCCCTGAAATATATCTAACACACAGGAAAACACAGAAAAAAAAATTGAACTTTATTGATACTAAAACAACATACTGTATAATGTATTATCATGATTATGCATGACTAGAAGACCCTACAATTTCAGACTAGAAAATGTTTGTAAATATCAATGTCTTTGTGACTTAGAGTAGACCACATATAAATTGAGACACGGTTCTATATTTTTCTTATAGTTTTATTAATTCAATTGAAAATATAAAACACCAACGAGACTGCTACCTAGAAACATTCGATGCAAAAAATATGTACACTTGTTTTTCATTTAAGGAAATACTAGAAGCCACAAACCGTGATCCAAGCGAGTATGACTACGCCTATTAAGGCTTATTCTAGAAAACTATGAATTTATTTTTAACAACAAACTTTACCATGAAACCTTGGGCGTGCCTATGTGCGGATCAGCATTCGCTGAGTTAGCAGGCCTTAAAATGTTTGTTAATTCTTGAACACATTTTACAACGCTTTCAACACAGAGAAACAAAATGATAATGATAGTTGAAGTTCACTTACGAATTTTCCTGTAATGAAATAATATTCTTAGACACTGTCATAATTATACAAAGGAGAAAGATTCTTTAACGAAGGCATAGTATGATACAAGACATTTAAACCAATATCAAACCAACTGAAACATATCAATATCTGCACAGACACTGCTCACACCCAAAAAGTGTTTTCATTGAAAGGATTTATCAAGGGTGAAGTATTGAGGTATCTCAGAAACACAAGCAGCAAAACTGATCTTAAAAAAACAGTAAGAAGCTCAAACGAGGATATCAAATATCTGAAATCAACGATTTTTTTTATCAAACACAAAATACAGAAAGGGAAAACTTGCTAACACATTACCCAGCGAAACGGGAGCAACCGCTAGTAGTGTTAACAAAATTCAACCCATCTATACAGAAACTAAAAATATAATAATGAAACACTGGCATCTTATTTCACAAAACCCTGAACATGTGACCATATTTAATCATCAGCCCATTATAGCTTATAAAAGACATAAGAACTTACAAGAACTTTTATCAAAGCATTAGCTGGTATAGTCATCTCCACTTTTCACAACACAATATGATACTGAGCTCGAAAAAAAATCAACTACTATTTTATCCAAAGACAACTAGTGTATGGTCCAATATCACATACGAAATGAAACAAAATAGCATAAATAGCACGCCAATATACAACTTATTGAGTCGCCCACTGATAAAGACGAACTCAGGGATTTACCACAAACACGGCAGAATTTCAGAAACACCGGGCCTAACATTTTAGCTCAAGGGTGAGCTCGGATGTGCAATCGTAACTTCTTGGCCATTCTCGATACGCATTTTGTTATTGGAGGCGTAGCTAGAATGGAAGAGTAGTTAAGATTGCTCGGATGCATTTATTAAAAACATTATTCCATTCCAATTTCAGTATCCTTGCATACGTAGTTTACCCTTTGCTGCAAACACACGGGCGACAATGATTTCGCGGAATGTTGAAGATACGGACCATTCAAGGAAACGAATTTAAAAAACGAACTTTTGAGCGAAACGAAAAAAAAAAACAACAACGTGATTTGCGAAAAAAATTATTTCAGTCGCGGATTTTTAGTGGGTCGGTCGGGTAAGGGGAAACAAACTTAATTTTAATTTTGGCCTAAGGGTTCCGCGGAACCCAGTGTCTCGCCTACTTTTGCTGTTGTCTATGTTTTCAGTGTGATAAGGAATGCACATAATAGAATTACAGTTAATGAAATAAATAAATAAGAAGCTTCTGTCCAAGTTTGGTAAAAATCCAGGATGGTTTATGAATCTAATAAATGTTTTAAAAACTTTTAACTGCAGACTGTATATAATGTTAACTGGAAGAAAAACTAAGTCCATTTATAAGTAATATACGGAAAAACAGGAAATAAATTTTTACAAAATTTCCTTCTACTTCCTAGCAGCTTTTGATCATAAACAAGCTTCTGTCCAAGTTTGGTACAAATCCAGGATAGTTTAAGAAAGTTATTAAAATTTTTTGAACTTTAACCACAGAGTGAATGTAATGTTAACTGGCAGAAAAACTCAGTCCATTTATAAGTAAAATACGGATAAACAGGATTTTTTTTTTACAAAATTTACTTCTGGAAACTATCAAAGGATCATAAACAAGCTTCTGTCCAAGTTTGGTATAAATCCAGGATAGTTTAAGAAAGTTATTTAAATTTTTAAAACTTTAACCACAGAGTGAATGTAATGTTAACTGGAAGAAAAAGTCAGTCCATTTATAAGTAAAATACGGATAAACAGGATTTTTTTTTTACAAAATATACTTCTGGATACTATCTTATAATCATAAACAAGCTTCTATCCAAATTTGGTAGAAATCCAGGATAGTTTTAGTTTAAGAAAGTTATTAAAATGAATATTTGTGGACGCCGCCGATGACGACGATGGAATGTAGGATCGCTATGTCTCACTTTTGCGACAAAAGTCACAGGCTCAACAAAAATGGTCTAAAACTCTTGATCATTGACGGGAAATTATTTAAAGAATATCCCTAGCCCGAACACTGTAATTCAGAAATTAATGCATGCATTTATTATTGCGATTTTTTACAAAAGGACAAAAATGCGAGTTTAATTATTGCGATTTCAGGAAAATCTGCATACAGATATATGTATCATCTATCAGAATGTGAGTTCTTATTATTGCGATACTCACCCAGTCGCATTATTTGCAATAATAAAAACCTCGCAATAATTTCTGAATTTAAAGTATACAAGTTTATACAAAAAATGTATACTTGCCAGCATACTAGGATTTTAATCTTTTACACTGTTAATTCAATCAAAGTACTAAAGAAATAAGCCAATACATCATTATGCAGATTTTTTCTTGAGTATTCTTGCTGTCTAGTACATATTTCTCAATAATCTTTATTTTCCAGGGACATTTCAGGTAACAGGATTATTCATTAAATCTGTACACCTATCATCATACCTAGTTTCCCATGTACGTCTCATCTGATAAAGTTGGATAACATTGTCATCATCTTTGTTTTCTTCTTCATCATCTGAGACCTGTCTCTGTAGCATCTGTATAGGAGATTCCTCACTGACCTTTAAGGATCTAGTGGAGAAATCCTGAAAAACATATCAATTTTGTTATTTAGAGAATGTTGATTTGAGGGCAGCTGTTAACTTTATTTTCTACAACTTTTCTAAACCAAGATGATGTTAAGCTCGAAAGAAATTTGTCAATAATTAATAAACTGCTTCACTGAGCGCAGCTTGATACGCCCGCAGAGGTCCAACCCTGAACAGTTGGGCCAAAAATGGACACAATATTCAAGCTTGATACAGGTCTGAATTTGGATTGTAATTAAATATTTGACATATTATAGGTTTCTGAATAAATCTAGTCAAAGAACTTGAAATTGGTTATATGAATTGAATTTATATTCAATTAAAGATTTCTTGCTGTTGTGTAATACACTGTGCTGTTGCGCAATACTAAGTAAATCTGTTTTCAGACTATAAACAAATAAAGTTCAATTAATTCTCAATGTCATATTAGAAATTTATGAAAATCAAAAGGGAGCTTACATCAATAGATATAAACAATTTACCAAAGTTTCATGAGAATTGCTGACAGCATTTTTGAGTTATTGTCAGAAAATTGGAAAATCCCCCCTTTTTTAATGAATAAAACCCCATAACTCAGAAATGTAAAATGTAAAATTTATAAAATTCTAAAGAGAGCTGACATAAATAGATATAAACAATTCACCAAAGTTTCATAAGAACTGCTGAAAGCATTTTTGAGTTTTGTCCAAAAACTGGAAAAAAACCCTTTTTTTCTGAATAAAACCCTGTAACTCGGAAACGTATATTCTAAAATTTATAAAAATTGAAAGGGAGCTCATGTCAATAAATATAAACAATTCACCACAATTTCTTGCAAGTTAGTGAAAGCATTCTTGAGTTATTGTCTGAAAACTGGAAAATCCCCCTTTTTTTAATGAATAAAACCCCATAACTCAGAAACGTAAAATCTAAAATTTATAAAAACCGAAAGGGAGCTCACATCAATAGATATAAACAATTCACCAAAGTTTTATGCAAATTGGTTAAAGCGTTTTTGAGTTAATGTCCGACATGTTGATGACGGACGGACAGACGGACGGACGGACAGACGGACAGAGGTATACCATAATACGTCCCGTTAACGGGCGTATAAAAACCATATGTAATATACATCTGAATGTCTCTTGAGAAACTGTACAAAATCTTACATTATGTAACAGAGGACAGACAACAGTCATATGATGTTTTTGAAATTAATAGAAATAAATTTTCAGGCAAAGTATTTTAAATACTTACATCAAACGAAACTTAAATTTCAAAATATAACACATTTCTATACTTTAAATGAAGTAAAGTCAACTTACTCTTGACATTTGAATGAGGAATCTGAGTACAAACTTAGCAAATCCTGGTAAATCTTCAACAGCAGCCAAACCACAGAAAGCTGATACCTCAAAATCTTGTAACTGTTTGTTCAAGAAACTTACAAAATGGTGCAATTCTGACCATGAAGGATCTCTTATACCACAATGTCTGAAAAAATGGTCAAATACGAATTCAAATATTGATAAAAAATTTGAAGGAAAATGTCTTTGAAAGATTTTTCAGATTTTGGTTTGCATTTCATTTATTTAAGGAGTGTCATGGAATGGAAAACATACATTATATAGTACAAAAACATTTTTAGCAAAAGAATTCTTTCTTTAAAGTTTAATGCCTGCATCTTAATTCAGTTTGACAGCTTCAGACATTCTCATTTTATACCTTTTTCAACTGGACCAAAATCTCTACTTAACCTTAAAATTCATGACCCAAATTTTTTTACAGTGAAATTTTCTTCCCTCTTTTGCTATTATTTGCATTAAAAAGGAAGAAATAAATTTAGAAAGTGTATGAAAAAAATTGAAAGTTATACACTGTCCACCCTGGGGACAAAACTTGTAGAAAACAAATACCAAAGGATGATAACTGTGGTCACAGACAAATTGGCCTAATAAAACCATTATGAATAAACATCCATGCATGCAATGCTATAAACCAACCTAAGCAAAGTATTGAGACACTGTTTCTTGTCCTCCTCTGGAATGTTAGCATTTACATCATCTAATCTACAATTAGTATCCAATCTCTTAAGATACTGATATGGTCTCTGGAATGTAGGACTCTTAAATTCTATACCATCAAACAGTCTATCATGATCTGTATAGTCTGGGGGTCGTCTGGCATCAGTCAATATCTCTAGACTTTCCTGAGGAGATCTACACATTACATGTGGAAGTATGTCTAGGCAATGGTGTAAACACTTCAACTAGAAAAAATAACATTCATTAAATGCACTTAATTAAATAAAACATATGCAAAATTTAAGGCAAAGTATATGAATTGGCAATATTTCAGATTTTGCTGAAATTTTGTATATGCCTTTATCATATATAATCTAATATATGATTCATTATGTATAATTTTAATCATAAATTGTGAAGCACAATTTTTTTTTCATAAAAAAAAAAAAGAATTCCAGAATTCCACGCCCATTTCTTGTGCCTTTAAAAACATAGATACTTGTAACATGTATTGCATCAATGGGTTTCTGTCGTATTGAGATATAATCCTTTTTCACTTTTTTCTTTAATATAATTATAATAATGTTAATGTTTAATTAAACTTATTGCTTACCCAAGATATTAACCATTTCTTCTAAATTAAATTTGCAGATAAACTTTGACTGCCATGTAACTTTATATACTACTACAAGGGGCATTAATGACCTTGACTACCCATGGAGGTCTCAGACAGTTGGTAGCTTTATATACAGTGAAAGCATGATTCAAAATGGTGTCCAATTTCATTTCATGACTGAATAGATTGGAGGGAAAATCTGTGGATTTTTTAAGTTTAAACCCACTACATGCCCTCCTTACTTTTGCATCTGTACTCCTGGCTAGCAGAGGCATGGATTCAATGATATAGTAATCCACATCTAACCTTCTCCATACATGTCCAGAACTGTGTCCCAAACATCCTAAAATTAATAGCTGGAACAGGAAAGCATCTACACCTTCTTGCACCTGTATATGAAATAAAAAAAATAATACTTCTCATTAAAAAATTTTGTAATAAACATTTTTTTTCGTTGCAGAAGATTTTTCTCATGATAACCTTTACCTAACATTTTTTCCAGTTTATTTTACAAGTTTGCATTTCATTTTTGTTTAGCGAAATGACACTTTCTCTTTTTCTGTGATAATGATCTTTACAGCTCTAAGCTTCAGTTAATATCTTCACTTTTTGATACACAATTTTTCTCATACATTCTTTAACTAAAGCCGCACTTTAATTATTCCTGCATTTCCTAATTACTTTTGTTTCCCTTATTGAAAGACCAACCTCATGGGAAATATCAATATGGAATATCCTAGGTTCATGACATCTTGGAGGTAAAGTCTCTTGTAGGAATATGTCCATAATGTCATTTGTATTAATTGATTTTTCATGCAGTGGAATTGTGACATTGCTGGACATTCTTCTTGGAATGTTGGATACCAGTTTGTACAAGTCTGCCACCATTCTTTTCTTGTACAAGGTCTTTCCAACCCCAGCTCTCCATGATTTTACAACTCTAACACTACACCTGAAAATAAAATGGGAATTATTGCTATAAGTCCCTTTTATGAAAATAACTAAAAAGAGCACTGCTTCAATACTTTGCACCTAAAATCTGAAAGTGCTAATTATATGAAAAATTGTGCCTCTATCTGACAAACTAGAAACCAAGAGCTATTCAAAGTATAGTAAATGTTATTTCAATAATGACAGCACATTTATGAAAATTAGACTGTATGAAATTGAACAAATATGATGTTATTTTTTCACACAGAATGACAAAAATTTAAGAGAATAAAGACCTGAAAAAAAGTTAAGGATGCTGCTGCCTTCTTTCTACTGTAGATACATTATTATTTGTTGGGTACAAATTTTCATGGATTTCTTGGGTACAGGTGAACCACAAATTTTCTAAAGGCATGTACGCAGACTTTGGCAAAACCACAAAATTAAATCTCCACCAAAATAGAATTTTCTCACAATTCATAAAAATTGGTATCAACAAAAACAAATGAATCCACAGTATTTAGTATCAGTCAATCATTTATGCAACTAGGATAATCAAGCATTTTGTTACAAGGGAGTAAGCGATTTACAAATGTAGTGTTTACCTCCCATTAATTGTTACAAACTACTACTATTTATCTGTTGTAAAATTAGCTGACCTTTCAAAATCTACAGCTGATGCTGGTCTTACTCCTGTTGTTGACTTCTCAACCTTCAACTTTGTTAGCAAATATTTTCTAACATTGGGTACATCTATAGGCAACTGTGGTCTATGGTACTTGTCTAGAGCTGCTACTACACGGGACTTGTACTCATTCTCACTGCTACATATCACAACTAATCTATATTTCATTCCTGAAATACAACAAAATATTTTTAGAAAAATGTTCCCTACTCTTATACATTAAGAGAGTGTTATGAGAGAATAAAAGAATAGAATAACATGGACATTGTAAGATTTCACTATAAATGGATTTTTTTGGGGGGATAGCACTGTATCTTTCTGTCTATTTTCATGAAATGCAATGAATAACACCCTTACAGCATAAAAACATGAAATAAAACTCTTGTATGAAAATAATACTTTACCATAATAATTTGTATTCAGGTGCAGATCCAGGATTTAAAAAAAGGGGGCCCCCTGCAAGAGGTAAGAATTTGAATTTGTAAAAAGTCTATGCATTAAAAAACTATGTAGCTACATAAGGCCACTGCACCCCCTCCCCACTAAATCTGTCTCAATTATTCTTCCACAGTTTAGGCCAACATTTTATAGAATGAAATCATATCTAATGAAAAGTGAAAATCTGTATAAATTTTAACATAACATCATAGTTCAAACATTCACTATACTTTTAAGTATTATATTAAATAATGCCAAAATTCAAGCAACTGTTTCACATTTTTTTATGATGAATGTCAAATGTAAAATCAAATTCAGCAAGTGCTCTAATAAATCAATCTGTACTTTAAATCGTATTAAACTTTTTCTGTCCGTTAAAAGATATTCACAAATGAAATGTCAGATTAGATAAAACAACAATTTAATTGTATATGACATTTTGTATGCTTTTTTCATTACCTTTGCTTTCAGCATTTTTCATTAGTCTCTCCAGAGTTCTCTCCCCTCTATCACTCACATCATAATCCAATAGGTCAGCATTCACTAAACAATGAACTTTACTGTTGTTAGCAAACAAAGATCTCCTCCAAAATATTTCTATCTGAAAAGACAAAAATATGTTGTTTTTAATTTAACATTCCACTGGATATTGTCAAGTTAAATATAGTATGCAGAGGGGGCCTTAGTAGCTGAGTTGTCTAAGTAGTTCTAAGTAGTTCATCATCAGTGATCAATAACATGTCCACTCTGAGGTTGTTATATGTGACCACCTAATCAAATAATGTTTCAATCCAATACAACCGACTAATTTTCGCAAGCAATTAATTTTCGTGACTTTCCCAAGTAAGAAAATAATCAAATATAAATTGTTGCGAATATGTAAAACTTGGATCTTCCCTTATTTAAATAATCAAGTAAATTTTAAAATTGCAAATCCAATAGCTGCGAAGTGGGTTAGGTAGGGCTAAATGCAAAATAAAGTATCCACGAAAATAAGTTGGTTTATAGTATGTAGTATTTGATTGAGCATCTGGAAACCACTTTTCTACACAAATTTCAGTCTATTTATATTAGCTTTTACCTTTACATTTGACCTGGTGACCTCAAAATCAATAGGGATCTTCCAATAATTATATGTGATCATATATCTAAGTATGGTTGCAAATTGATATAAAGTTTTGGTGTTAGCATCTGGAAATGAAAATAATTGATGGACTGACGGACTTACTGACGGATGGGTCAATAACTATATACCCCTCGCCACTTCCTAGCTTGGGGTATAATAATTTATAGTTACCATATCGAGTGTAGTTTGTGGTGTACAGAGTAACACTTCATCTGATTGTGGCAACGGTCTATCATCTTCATGGCTGTACACTGATAATACAGTGTTGTAAATCTCACCTGAAATAAAATGTTTAAAATTTTATGCAATTTTTCACTTAATTTTTCTTGAGGTAAATTGAGCACTGTAAAGAAAATTTCTTGCAGTTAATTCATATCCGATCATGAACTATTTTGTCAATTTGGTAGTAATGACTTAGCAAATGTCAAAATTGCTAAAAGTGTCTGACCAGAACTGAATTTACATCAGTGCAAATGTCAGTCCAGGTTGCAATTATTTTCTGGCTAACTGTAACTGTTCACAATAGCCTGGAGTCCTGGCCAAAAACATGCTCTTCCCATCAGTAAGGTAGGGCATGGAAAAATCCATGTGACCAGCTTTCAGCGCTGAACAGGACTGAATTGCATTGCATGAGCATGTTTAATGAACAATGAATATATCAATGGTATCTCAAGTTAACTGATTTACAATGTAAATCAGTAAGGTTTGTGTCATAATTGCTATATTATTACTGAAATTCACATTTTGCATGAATTTTGTAATAACTTAAAACAAATTACAATGTGAATATGATGTATACTTTAAGAAACCCTCATAGACAGTGTCTTTAACATTGATTCACAAAACAGTTCCAAAAGCAGGCTTCATGACAGTCCAGGTATCAATTGCAAAAGACTGTAAATACCATTCACAGTTGTTAACAGTTATAATTAGCCAGGATATGACTGACAGTTACTTTTTTTAGGTTATAATTTAAATTTTGTTGACAAAATATTTGTTTCTAAACGGATAAACAGACCATTGATATCAATTTCTCAATCTTTTTTAGAGTTGAATTTGAATATCATTCATTAAACCTTGAAAAAAACTTACTCTGTGGACAAATAATGAGATTTGGTTCTCCTGACTTGAAGCTGGGTAAAAATGTTCTGTCTACAATCATTTGTTCTGAAAAGAAGAACATATTGAGTTACACAAAAACAGAATTTGATGATAATTTATTCAAGAAATATACAAAATAGTATTTTTAAAAACAATTCTTTAAAAATTTGAAGTTATTCCTGAATTTCGGCACCAGAAAAAAAATGCAAGAAGCAGATGTTTTTTCATGGGTGAATTCAATATCAAAACCTATATGAAACTGTATGAGGATTAAAAAGATGGAAAAAAACTTTAATAAATACTAATGAAATTAACATTTAAATCTTAAAAGTTTTTATCTAAATTTTTCATTATTTCATTTAAGTCAATTTGTTTTGTATGAAATATTCTAGGGATTTCTTTCACCATAAGAAATACTTTCTTATAATATTTATCATTTTGAAAGTTATACAAAAATAAGGAGATGTGGTATGATTGCCAATGAGAAAACTATCCACCAAAGTTCAAATGAAGTGGATGTAAGCAATTATAGGCAGTATTTTATTTATAATGACTTGTCTAAACTTAGAATGATTCAGAACTTGACATATGGTTCATTGTTTAAGACTGTATGTTGACATCTAGATGTCATGTTTGTGTTGTCAGGTTGCTGTCTCATTGATGCATATCCAACATCTCCTTAAATTTATATTTTTTTTTCTATCTTTACCTTGTTCAGCAAGTCTATTCAGAATCAACCCAAGATGTTCTACACTAAGATAATCTGACACACTGGAAGATATTGAACTCAGGAATGTGTTCCACAAGTCTTCTAAAGTTTTGACTAACTTGTCAACTGCATTCTCCCTGCAAAATTAATTTTATACCAAGTCATTAACAGTTTCTGATGTTTTAGAGCTAATTTACTAATGCTTGTAGAGTAAGACTTTAGTTGGCTTGCTTGCTTTGTTTGTATAAATGTTTGCTCAAGCATTGTAATTAAGATTGACATCTGTAAACAATATAAATAGGCGGAGTTAAACTTCTATACATTATATTTAGATTCCTAACCTCCAGGATAACATTCAATCACATTTAAGAATAATGCGTACAGGTTTAATACGCCGATTTATACTGTTTGCAGATGTCAATCTTAATTACAATACAAACAAAGTAAGCAAGCCAACCGAAGTCTTACTCTACAAGCATTAGGAAATTAGCTCTAATACTGAAAATTGTTCTACAAGTATACATATGCACAAATATTGAATGCCAACCTAGTACTGACAGAAATAAAGAGTTACAGTAACCTTAGATAACTCTAAATTAATATGAATATATTAAAATATTTTTCAAAATTTAAGGGATTTTCTTATTAAATGGACTTTAGGAACAAAATAAAATATGGAGTTATATGGGTAAGAAGGTGTTTGATTTACACAGTGTTCAAAGTTCTTGACCAGAGGCAAATGAATTTTTATGTACCAAAACAATTAAAATTTTCAAAGCTAAGTACAGTTAAATTCTGGTTAAATACCAATCAGAATTCCAGTCTATCATAAAAAATTACATTGGAAATCTAATGTTTAAAGTTCATGAAATTTTAGTTGTTATACTTATTGATTCAGATCCTAGGTTTATAAAATGAGAATCTAGTTCATTTCAGAATGATTGAATAGTTCAAGTGGTCCTATTGCTATACATAGGATTATTCTTACTTTGACCCAACATCAAGCTGGCTGACAAGGCTTGCAGTAATAGATGCTAGTGACTGTCCAGTTTGTGTCCAGCCAGTGTAGTTCACCTCTTTCTCCATTTGTTCAGTCTGAACTGGTGATTGTCTATCTTGTTCTTCTGGTATAAAGGTTTCTTCATTGTCCATACACCATACCAAACCTTCAATGGAAAGTAAAGTATGGGGATTTTCTATTTATCATATAATCCTAGTGCTTAGAATTAATCATAAAAGTTTAACAAACAAAATTATCCACAGACATATATGTCAAATTAAATTCTGGTACATTACATTAGATCTTTTCAAATTCAACCTTCTTCAAAAACTTTCTGTGTGAAATGACCCCCATCTTATTTTCTTGCCATTGATATTTTGATTGCAAATGGCCAATGTAAAATTCTGACTACTTCCAAAATAAAATTGCTTTACAAATCAGATAACAATTATCTATAAAGTTAACCAAGTTTATGTTCATTGCATGGGCAATTCTGATTTAAACCAACAAACAGTTTTTCGAAAAATCTTATTTCCTTTTATGAAATAAGTATACATCCATCCTGTCAAATTATGATGGAGGCATCTTTGATGAAGTATTGAAATGTAATTGCACACATTTGAAACTTAAGTGTTATTTTATTACAATTTTACTCAATAGCTTATTGTTCTCATCTTTTGATGTTTGAACTTGGTTCAGAAATTGTGATAACTAAGAAATTATGAAGTGAATTAAAAACAATTCAATCTTAAAGATAGCTGGTACAGGTTAAATGATCTGAAACTAACCTTCATCAATGTCATCTGGAGAAACATGTTTCAGAGCCTCTCTGACTAATTCTATTGGATAAGATTTTGTCATTACTTCTAAGAATTTAGCTATTTTGACATCGTCTGCTTCATTCTCTGCATCCATTTCTTCAGCTTGATTTTCTTCTTCCATCTGTTCTTCCCTCTGTAAATCTAATTTTTCAACATCAAGTTTAGCAGCAGCCATAGCTCTCACAAGATCTTCCTTTGTACAGCCCTGTTTTACAGCAGACAACATAGGAAATATGAGAACTGAAGGTTCAATTTCCGTCCCTAGTTTGACTAATTCCTGTTGAAGAATGACCATTTGGTCTACTGTGAAGAAATTCAACAAGTAATATTTTTCCCTCCTTTCATCAATATAATCTAGCCACTTTTTATGACACTGTTCAAGAAACTTCGCTAGCTTTGGAATTATTGAACTGACATCTTCGTTTGTTTCGTCAATTCTCCCTTTAAGTGTGTGTTTATCCTCGCCAAATCCAAAATTGATAAAAGCGCAGGCTTTTCTTGTTTTGTCGCAAAGAAATTTGACATGCCACTGTGAGAACAATACACAGCCTTCTGCTACCAGCTTTGTGTAGATGTTACCAAGTCGAACTACTGAGTCTAAAATCTGGAATATTAAAACAATATCAGTATACAAAATTTATACCAGAAAATGATCATGCATCAACAAATGTTCTTGTAATTTGACAGTTGATTTCAATCTATGAAATTTTGAAATGAATGTTAAGTTTTGAAACCAAAATATTTATAAATAAGGTGAAACAATATCAGGTGACTTTACTATAAATTTACTTCAGTTCTCCAATAGCAATTAAAGTTTCAATACTTATAATTGTCAGGGAATATTCAAAGTTTAATAATGTGCTGAAATTAATACTAGTATGGTAAAACAACTTCAGAGGACTATATTTTAGGGTTGCTTGCGTTTCACCTCAGTAATTTTGGCCTTAACACTAGAATTTTTAAATTGTGTATGATAAAACTGAGACAGAAATAACCATAGAATTAAAAAGAATAAAAACAACACCTATCAAATAATTAAACATTACTCAATCTTTGTTCCCAATTCTACTTAATTTCCTGATAAAAATAGTTCAATGTAAATTAAACAGATCTTTCCATCAATCTTCCATAGAGTTCAAACACAATTCTTTCAAGCTACTGAACAAGTGCTCATACCAACATAAATCTGTCTACATCATCTTTGCCTTTTTCAGCTTTTCCTGCCACCAACATTAGACGTGACTGCAGGTCATGGAGTTGTTCATACTTGTATTGGTTTCTCTGTAGACGCTGTCCTTCTGCTTCTGTTACTCTTAATTCTAACACCTCTCCCAATGTCTTAACAATATTAACAATATAAAACAATGAAACTCATGTAAAACTACATTTTAATCAAAGCTATCCTTGATACATATGAAAATAGATATAACAATGGAGCAGAAATCTAATTGAATCCCATCAAAACTGCTGTTATTTTATTCAATAAAACAGTCCCTGGCTTTTCACTAATTTATAAAAACAAGAGTTTTAATAGCAATTGTGTAAACTTATCAATAAACAAAAAATACTTTTAATTGCTCCCTTTTTAAATTTATTTACACTTGGTAATTTTTTGTTGAAAATTATCTAAGTCTGACAAAGATAATAATATATATGATTAAGTGGGCTTTTTCCTTTGTTCAACTTGTAAACCGCATAATTTTAATTACAAAATTTACAATATATATATATCATAAAATATAGGGTCCTTGATATTGTTGGTACTCACAGGGTTTTTAATTGTGGCAGTTTTCTTTAGATTTCCCACTTGGTAGATTCCATTTGTATTGATAGCTTCTGCTTGTGCAAGGGAGGTAACCTCTACAGATCCATGAGTCTGTTTTACTGACTTCAACCAGTCAAGTTGTCTTTGTGTATCAACCTTAAAAAAACAAAAACAAAGCTGGAAAAATTCAACAAAAAGTAAATATCGCTGTATATCAGTGACAGACAGCCTTACATCTTTGACTTATTATGATGCCAGTTGATGGCAAATCTTTTGATTGTTTCTGTTAAATTATTCATAGCACATATTGTATAGACTCCTGTCTTTTGATGAAGACTGTATGTTGCCCTCGAGACATCTTATGGATATTTTTGTCAGAGGGTTACTGTTTCATTAACGTTTACCCCACATCTTTCTTTATTATGGGCCTTGGTGGCTGAGTAGTCTAAGTAGCTCATCTACAGTTATCAGTAGCCTGTCAACACAGAGGTTCAATTCCCACTCATGGCAGGTTCATTTGTCTCCTATCATTCAATGATGATTTCCAGTCTTTCTGCTGAAGGTTGAGGTTCCCTCCGAGTACTCCGGCTTCTTCCACCAATAAAAACTGGCTGCAACCATAAAGCCAAGAGTGCCGAAAGTGGTGTTAAACACCAACAATTCATCAATCAATCAATCTTTTTATTCATGTTAATATAAAATATATATAAAAAATAAATAATAATAATAATTTTTATCTACATATTTTATTTTTTTAATTTATTAATTGAATTTGTATTTATGTAAATGATAAATCTTATTTAATTGTTCGAAAATCAAAGTTAGATATAAGTTTTGTTCATATAAATTTGATTTTTTTTGTAAATATGTGTTTCATAAGCCAACTCAATGGCTGGGTATTGATTGTTTTAATCAAGGGTCCGGAAACGGTCATATTTGCCAGTCATGTCCTAAGATGAAACTATTTGTCCTAAACGAGTAATTGGGATTTAGGACAAATTTTATTTTTTTACAGAAGTAATTTCGGTCATTTCATTGACTCAATGTTTGAAATCGGATTTCTTAATCGCCATTTTGCACTTGTGATCACTTGTTTTTGTTTATAATCCCTTTCCTGTAATAAAACTGCCACAACAGTAGTTTGATAATCCTGAGGGCCCTCCTAATATCTATATCAATGCCTCCGGGAAACATTGGCTAATGATCGCTAATCACTTTTTACCTGCGGTTTTAATTCACACCTGACAGTGATCACAAGCTCAGAATAATATCTTTAAAACATTAAAGTTCCCTGACAAGTGTATTCATTATTTATTTACTTTTCATCAAAGACAGTCATCAATTCTGATTTAAAAATTAAATCTAAATTTACGTAGAAAAAAGTATTTTTTCATGAGTAACACATGTGCTTTATTTACTATGTAATACGCATGCGTGAAATTGTCTTCAGCAAATTTAATATTTAATCGTAAAATGCAAATTGATTTCATGCTAAATTAAATGAGTGCAACTATTATCTGTTATATTCAAACACTTTTAAAGGTAATAAAATAAAAAAAGCCATAAAAAGCCGGTGATTTCCTGTCAATTTGATAAACAAAACAAATCCGGGAAATGAATCCGGAATTATTCGTACCTTAAAATATCGCAAACTTCCAGTTTTAACTTTTGTCAAATCGAAAGAAACGTAAGCAATGTCTGAGAAATTAACCATTTTGAGTCATTAAAATCATTTCAATTTTAGACTGTTGCCTTCCCTAAACTGTCCTTCATGGTAATGGTAAGACATTTACTTAGTACATGCGATGAAACAGCAATACAAGTTCGTCATGTTCGTTGATGCTATGAATATAGTCAAGTTGATATCGCCATTTGGAAAAGGGGCACCAACTTTTCAAACATCTCAAAATGACCGAAATTGTCTGGAAAAATTTCCGGATCCTTGGTTTTAATGTATATTTTTATTATATTATTGTATAATGTACAATCAATATGTGACACATAATAAAACAAAATTTATTATATAAATGTTGTATATCAAGACAATTACATTGGGTACACATTGATAAGGTAGCAACTCAAGCAATATCCAAAATCAAGGACATCTGACTACCTTTACTATCAAAAAGATGGTGTGGTAAAAAATTTGTATCTTTACCATAGGACATGGGGTTGTCATTTAAAACCAAAGTTTTTGACCTTGACCTTTGACCTAGGAAGTTGTACATACATTATGACACACCCTCTGGTGTTGGTTAATATACATGTCAAGTATAAACTTTGAAATCATAACGGTTCTCAAGATATAGAGTGGACACGATCTTTACCATTGGACATAAGGTTGTCAACTAAAACCAAAGTTTTTGACCTTGACCTTTGACCTAGGAAGTTGTACATACATTATGACACACCCTCTGGTGTTGGTTAATATACATGTCAAGTATAAACTTTGAAATCATACAGGTTCTCAAGATATAGAGATGACACGATCTTTACCATAGGACATAAGGTTGTCAACTGAACCAATGTTTCTGACCTTGACCTTTGACCTAGGAAGTTGTACAAACATTATGACACACCCTCTAGTGTTGGTTAGTATACATGTCATGTATAAAGTATGAAATCATAACAGTTCTCTAAATATAGAGTGGACACAATTTGTTACGGACGGACAGACTGATTACTATAGGGCGACCCGCCATTCGGCGGGCCCTAATAAAATATTTCTTTGGGGTATAATATCAATTTCATGTTTAATTTATGTATGTCTATAAATTTTATTCTTCTAATATCTTACCAATTTCTTTGGGAGTTTGGAGTCAGCTTTCAGCTCCTTCCAGACTTCTTCACATCTATGAAGGAATAATGCAGCATCACAATTCTGGTCTAGATTGAAAATCAGTGGACTATATCCAGTGGTGGCTGAGTGAAGACAGTTTACTTTATCAATCTCATAGTCCCCCTCACCAGCTGATATACTAGCAAGGTCAACAAACACTTTAAGTTCTTTCAGTCCAGCTGAAATCAGATAATAATTGCATTCATTTTGTTTATAAAGAATACATAAAGTAAATGGAGAATGTGTCTATTGGCCACAGATGCCCCCGCTTGTAAATATGCATGAGTCAACTTCCACATACAGATGCAGGATTCACGTTTTGTGATTATAAGCATTGTGTATAAGTTTTATCACATTTTGTTGAGGCAAACTGAAGTTAAAGAATGGAAATGAAAAATTCAGCAATTTTTATGTTTATAAACGGGCATAACTCATGAACAGTAAAAGTGATGCCACCCAATTTCAAACTTGATCTGTGTTTTGTGGTAATAAGCACAATGTATAAGTTTTATAACATTTGGTTGAGGCACACTAAAGTTAGAGAACAGAAACCAATTTTGGTGACGTACGGGATGTATGGGACGTACGTGACGTACAGGACGGACGGACAAGGGTAACACTTAATGCCCCCTCCCCTACGACGGGGGCATAAAAACCACTATTTATACAGTTATGACCTATGTACTCTTAAAAATACTTCACTTATGTGTACTACTTAAAGATTATTGTTGGTCATCTTCACAAGATTGATTTTCTCGCTTGAGCTGGCATGGTGAAAGGAAATTATTAGATCAATGGAAAATTTCGCAAAATAGCAATATCTTATTTTCTCACCATAAATGGCAATTTCACAAACAAAAAAGGCATAAGATATGAGGGATAAGATATTTCAATTCTGTCATCTTGGACTATGTTGTCTGCAATTTACTATTTGTATACTTTATCTGTCGCTTATAGAGATATACTCTTTTTGTTGAATTATTTACATCCTTTGTTGTGTTTTTAGGTTGATACACAAAAACAACTTGACTGGTTCATTGAAATTGTTTTGCAGTCCCCATAGAATTTTTATCCTTTTCATAGCAAATTATCCCACAAATTTCTTGATATACCAAATGGTTGTCTTTAATGTTTGTTTTGTTTCTGTATTTTACAGTGAGATTGCCAGGCAATTAATGAAAGTATTGGTTAGACTGCTTTGGAAGATAATTTGTTGATTTTACCCTACAGCTGTGCCATTCAATGAACAGACATAGTATGACTGACATATAGCAAAGCATTCCATTCAAACTGTTGCTAGGGGTCAAAAGAGCTATTACTCAATGTTGAAAACATCACTGTGACCTTAAAATGAAGTACTGCATAAGGCCAGGGTTTTATAATTTGTTGGTTTTACAGATCAGCCGACCCTATTTTCCTGATTTTCTGGAGAAAAAAACATGCTTTTTTTATTCCCACTGACCCTAACAAATACATTATCCCTGCAATAGAAATAAAAATATCTCCTTATCAGCATTTTCCTGATATTAAATTCATTATTTAAGCATGTTAAAATATTAACACAAATTATTACACTAACTGTTCTAAAAAAATAAAAATCTAAAAATAGTGTTTGTGTTTCTAAAAATAGACAATCAAAACTGTTCTTGAAAAGTTGTTTGAGCAAATAACTTTGCCAAACTAAAACCTGTTAAAAACCTTTTACAATAAGTACGTTTTTTATTCCATTTTTGTAATAATTTTTCATGATCTCAGATTTCACCCGTCCAAATGTGAAAGACATCAAGTTAAAAGTAAGAGATATTCATTAGCAACTTGGAAGTTTCTTGTTTCATAGATTGAAAAAAATGTTTATCTATTTGGATATCAAAAGGGGATTGCTTGACAAAGGATGAAACCGATATCCTCGTCTTTCTGGTGGACGGGTCTACTTCGTTTATGACCACAGATGGTCAAGTTATATTCATGTGACGTGTTTGCAATTTTTATTTCACATGTTTTCGAGTTTGAAGCTCATTATTCACTATGTTTCCTGAAAGTTGATAAAAAGCAAAATGTAGCTGGTTTTTTTTTTCGTTTGTGAAATTACCATTTATTATTTCTGGTTGTCCATAGACATATCGATCCCCTTTTCACAAAATTATATGACGATGGCATGCTTTGTATGTTAAAAACAGCTGAGCAATAATATTTGGAACTAAATTTAAGAAATGATGACAAAGAAACATACTCAAAATATTGTTAGTAAGCTCAAATATATATTTATTCTATACATTTACGTCTTGTAAGATATTTTTTTTCTTTTTTTTTTCAAACCGACCACAACCCGACTTTTTCACATAAAAAGTCTGTAAACCAACAAATTAAAACACCCTAGTCTAACAAACATTGTTCCTTTGCTTATGGTTATTTTTCTGTGCACAATTTGATTTTGTGTAATACCTTGACTTTTCTACTAGTATTATTTAAAAAATGGCTGCCATGATATAGCCAAAACTGATCTGGTCATTTAAATTTTTTTATAATTTTGTTATAAAGGATGTTCTGTTTTATGAACATATTCATTTGTTATAGCAATCTAAGGTATTTGTGAATGATGTAAAGAAATATTATAAAAAGACTACACACATTCACACCTTTTTTTAAACACACTGCAAACTTACAAGGCATAGTTTCTCGTAACCACACTACCAGAGGTTTACAGGAAATAAATGTTCTCAGACTTTTAGCTTTTTCTTCATCAATTCCTGTTAATATTTTACAGGTTTTCATCATGTTGTCATCCAATGTATTCATTTTTGTATCAGCATCGCCAGTCTGCAAAAAACATTGTTACAATCAAAATCACATGTTTAGCAATTTTTTGAAGGACTCGTAATAAACACTATGTTACATATACTCGAAAAAAATTTCATGTTTTATTGGTTTTGAAAAGAAAAAAATACTTAAACATTTATTTTCATTTTCAAAAACAAGAATGCACACAAAGATGTGCTAAGGACACCCCGAATCCTTATCGGTAGTATCTGAAAACAGGATGTAGGTGTCTGTCAAATAAGTGCTCACACACAACAACTCATCACTGCCAATATGCTGACAAAATATAAAGTCATTCTGTTCTGTTGTACTGGAGAAATTGTGAAAAAGTTTAAGCTTATACTAGCTCATTGAACAATTTGAAAAATTCAAAGTATTGGCAAACAGGAAGTAGGTTTCTGACAGATCCATAAAGTGCTCACACCTTACAGCTCATCACTTTCAAGTTGCTTTCAAATATAAATTCATTTTGTTAGCTTTTTCCTGTGAAAAGTGTGATGAAAATATTTGTTGGACAAATGGACAGACAACAGAAAAAAGCAGACAGACAATGAGAATGGAATATAGCCCCACTCCTAGGGTTAGGGTGTAAAAAATCAATAAACACTGTAATTATTATAACAAAAATAAACTTACTAATTTAAGTATTTCCAAAATCTGATTAAAATTTCCTGTCAATTCAAATTCCTTGACCACTTCCATTATAGCTCTTGCACCAAATAAACAACTCTGTAGATTCCTGTATTTTTCAAGTTGATCCAATCTAACATCAATCCATTTAGTATTTCCATCCTGACACAATTTCATTAGTTCATTTCTCAGAGTTTCCATATCTGTTGTTTTGAAGAATTTCTCAAATTCAGAAAATTTCAAATCACCATTTTTCAGCCTGGTACACAAATCATCCCAAAATCTGTATGTTGGTTCCCAAACTTCTGTCAAGATTTCTTCCAAATCTAAAGATTTTCCTTTCTGTTTTGCCAATTCATTTCCTCTTCTATCCCACAATGTTGTGAATAGAAGCCCCTGACCACATTTTAGTATATGTGGTATTATTTGAAGAACAGTTTCATCCATTCCAAATGCAGTAATCATTGGTTGATACTGCTCCTGATTTTTCATGTCTTCAAGAAAGGCAACTTTACACAGCATATTTAGACTAACATTTTCAAGTTTTTCAAATCTTTTGATTCTATCTTCCAAATCTCTTGTATTACCTATTTAATACAATAAAGAATTAGGAAATATTTACTTGATAATAGTTCATTTTTCTGTCAAAATTTAAAACACTTTCTATTCTAGGCCATGGTTTGAATTATGTTTTATGATATGACTTCATGAAACCTGTTAGGAGTGTTTGTTGTTATTTTGAGCAGCAGTATTTGACAACATCTGTGGCTCTTTTAGCTAACTAGATACAGTAGCGTGCAAATTTTGACTCTGCTTTCCAAATTATGTGCCATATTTTATTTGCTTGTTCAAATCAGTGGTCACCCTGTTGGTACCTGAACTGTGTAGGTGTTTTATTTCGTATAAGTACTTAGCTCAATGTAGAAATGACATTTATACAGCACCAGTAAGTATAAAAAGTGTTATCAATATAAAAAGCTTTAGTAAAAAATTTAAACAAATGACTTTCTAGCATTTGTCATTTTATTACACAAATGTATATGTCATTTCTGTGAGAAAAGTTGTATTAGAATTTTTTCTTAAAAAGAATATATTTCAGGACTGAACGCTTCTTTGCAATTTTAGTGGGATGCAAAAGCCTTAACCAAACATTTAGTATGAAACACGCTTCCAACTATAAAATAGGGGCATAATCAATGCTTCATAACCCTATAAAACTACCAAATACATTTCCTACAATTACATTATAATGTTAAAACCAGAAATTTTGAGTCAAATCAAGAATTTCATTTACTTTCTTTTAAATATTCTTAAAAGTTCTTGTAATGTTGCCATTGAAAGCCGAATGATGCAGTCATGGATGTTATTTCTAACTGGGAAATATAATACACTTTAAAACACAAATGAAAATAATTAAATCCTTATGAAACATCTATGCAGCTTAATTATATACCTTTGAATCTTGTACACATGTACATAAAGTCCTGCACAGTCTTCAAAGTTGCCTGATAAGTTAACAATTCCTTTTCCCTGAGTGGAAGGGAAGCCATTAAATACTCTGCTTTAATAGGAAGATCCTTTATTTCCATCACAATCGATTTGAAGTGGCCTGCTTTTCCCAAGATTCTTTGTAAATCTTGTACTAAAACATTTCCTCTTGATAAGGCTTCACTTGCTCGCTTAAGAACCTCAACAAAGTTTCGCATCAAATCTGCACTGTTGCTGCTAAGTGATTTGGAGTACTCCTCGTGGTCTTGAAAAAAACATCACATGCATAAATTACTTTTAATACATCTATTTTACAGTAAAAAAAAATATTAGAATTATTTTGCATAATAAGCAAATTTATAGACATATTCTTGATAAGATGCAGTTTTCAACTGATCGTGGATAAAAATACCAAAATAATACTTCTGACAACATTTTTCAGGCAAAAATACAATCATTCCATAAAACACTAATTATAATTGACCTACTGCTTATAGTATTTGAGAAATGGGCCTAATCATGTAACTGTAACCTTGATCACTGATCCATAAAATGAGGTTAGGTGAACCCTGTCTGATGGACATGTAGACTTTGCAAGGAATCCATATACCATATATAGTTATCCTATTACCCATAAGTGTGAAATTCAAATGACAGAAAAATCTGTAATTTTTGTCAAGGACAATGGACATATGACAGAGGGAAACTTGGTAAGATAAATTATCTGCATACAAGGTTTGAAGTATCCACATCTACCTTCTGAAATATAGAGCTTTACATACTGTAAATTCAGAAATTATTGCGATGTTTTTATAATTGGGAAAAATGCAACAGGGTTATAATCGCAATAATTTAAACTCGCATTTTGAATTTTTTTATATGAATTAAACAGGATTTTTCTAAATATCGCAAAAACTAAAATGCGCCAAAATGACAAAATCGCAATAATAAATCCACGCAATAATTTCTGAATTTACAGTAAACAGTTTACACCGCCACTTTCCCTACTGCCACTGCAGCCACGGATAGTAATCCCTGTCCCACATACAGACAATAAACAGCTGCGTCATGAGCACATGATATGCCCGTCAGGTTTTCAAAGAATAAAGTTCAATAACTTCTCAATGTCATATCCAAAATATATCAAAAACTAAAGGGAGGTTATCTTAATAGATATAAATCAGTCACCAAATTTTAATGAAAACTGCTCAAAGCACTTTAAGGATATTGTCCGAAAACTGGAAAATCCCCCTTTTTTAATGAATAAAACCCAATAACTAGTAAACGTAAAATCTGAAATTTATAAAAATCAAAAGGGAGCTTAAGTCAATATATATAAACAATTCACCATAGTTTAAGGAAAACTGCAAAAAGCATTTTTGAGTTACTGTTCAAAAACTGGAAAATACCCCTTTTTGTAATGAATAAAACCCCATAACTCAGAAAAGAAAAATCTAAAATTTATAAAAGTCCAAAGGGAGCTCATGTCAATATATATAAACAATTCACCAAAGTTTCTTGCAAATTGGTGAAAGTGTTTTTGAGTTATTGTTTGAAAACTGGAAAATTCCCCTTTTTGTAATGAATAAAACCCCAAAACTCCGAAACCTCAAATCTTAAATTTATAAAAAACGAAAGGGAAACTCGTCAATAGATATAAACAATTCACCAAAGTTTCATGCAAACTGGTTAAAGCGTTTTTGAGTTAATGTCCGACATGTTGACGAAGGATCGACGGATGGACGGACGGACGGACGGACAGACGGACAATGGTATACCATAATAGGTCCCGTAAATGGACGTATAAAAATGAAAATTTTACATTTGATTTGATTTATAAAATGCAAAACCTACCAAAACCATAATTTGTATTACTAATGTAGACATTTGTACTAATAAACATTACTGAATGCACCAACCCGCCATTAATGAGTTATAATTCACAAATATCAATCTGCTTACTATAAAGAATAGTTTTCCCAGTTCAACATAACTATAAAAATACAATAATAAAGATCTTTTTGAATTGACAGCATATTTCACAACTGTACTGTTTGCTTGACATGAATTTTCATACTACTAATACTAATTCTTATTTTAATTATTCTTACATAAAAGCTTCACATAGGTTGCAAATGGAGCCCAGTTCAATGTATAGTCTAGTATTTTGTGCTGATCTACCAGCTGATGAAGGTCCATACTTCTTTCAAATACAAGTGATAATAATTTTCCATACTTCATCAATGTTGATCCTCTATAAGAACTGCCAACATACAAGCTACTTCCTCTCTCTACTGCCTAAAGATATAAAAAAAAATTATGAATTTACTACCATGACTGATTTCTGAATGACACAAAATTTATAAAATGTCATTCTATTTTTTTAGCATATATTCTTTGAAATACATTTTGTATTACTTTTTATGTTTGATACAGATATTCTTTAATTATATGTTAAGTGCAGTTCTCAATAGATTTTTATCATTTCTTTCTCTTTACTGTATCATTTCCTCTTGCATGCTTTTTTTACTGTACCATTACTTCTTATGTCTTTCTTTTTACTGTATCATTTCTTCTCAGGTCTTTCTTTTTATATTACTGTATCATTTCTTCTAATGTTTTTCTTTTTTATTGTATCATGTCTTTCTATTTACTGTATTATTTCTTCTTATGTCCAAGACAAAAGGGGAGAATATTGCCAATCAAAAGATATACTGTAAATTCAGAAATTATTGCATGCATTTATTATAGTGATTTTTCAAAAATGGACAAGAATGTGAGTTTAATTATTGCGATTTCAGAAAAATCTACATACAGATCTATGTTTTAGTTATCAAAATACAAGTTCTTATTATTGCGATACTCATCTAGTCGCATTATTCACATTAATAAAAACCTCGCAATAATTTCTGAATTTACAGTATTTCTAATAGCATTATTGTAGGCTGTCTTGTTAACATCATTTTTTACCTCATGATCTGTGATATTCAAATTACTTACCCTAAAAGCTAACTTGCTTAAAATTTCTTGAACGGGATCACAGAATGACTCTACATTTTCACAGTATAATTCAACTAGCTTTACTTCTGCATTCTGTTAAAAAAAAAAAAATAGCAAAAAATAAATCTTGGGTAACAAAACGAAAACTGTAGCCTGCGTTTAATTAAGGATGTTTGCTCCTCTTGTTTTTGAATTTTTGCCAGATTTTGGAATTCTCTGGTTTCATCAATGCATTTTCTACATTGGCTAGAGGTATAGGGGGAGGGTTGAGATCTCATAAACATGTTTAACCCCGCCGCATTTTTGCGCCTGTCCCAAGTCAGGAGCCTCTAGCCTTTGTTAGTCTTGTATTATTTTTAATTTTAGTTTCTTGTGTACAATTTGGAGTTTAGTATGGCGTTCATTATCACTGAACTAGAATATATATTTGTTTAGGGGCCAGCTAATGGACGCCTCCGGGTAAGGGAATTTCTCGCTGCATTGAAGACCTGTTGGTGACCTTCTGCTGTTGTCTGTTCTATGGTCGGGTTGTTGTCTCTTTGACACATTCCCCATTTCCATTCTCAATTCTATTGCCATTAAAAAATTTTGTCAGCTAATCCATACTTTTCTTTTCATAATTTTATTACATTAATAGTTTAAAAAGCTCTATTTGAAAATCTCACAAAATCCTTGTTATTTCTCGAAAACAAGCACATGGACCCTTCATTTTTTTCTGCTTTTAGTTCCTTTATTTATATACTATCATTTTATTACAGTCTTTTAAAAAGCTTGTTATTTTGAAACAGAGTAGCGAACATCCTTAAGACACATTTCATTATGGCTATAGACATTCTTTTCAACAAACCTTCCTGTTGAGTTATATGATTATTTCTAGTAAATAAAGAATGTTATGACTATTTTTTCCAACTAAATACCTGATAAATATATAGTCAATTAGTTCTTGTCCTTAACACTTTCATCCCCAAGGATGCCTTGAGGCATTCCCTGGGGAGTGCCCAACAATGCCTCAAGGTCCCCTCCCGTTGACCCAATGATGCCTTCAGGCAACGTTTTTTAGGTATTTTTAAAACCAGTTTCACAACGAAATAACAGGTCGTAAAAACGAGAAAATTGACTCAGTCATAGAGCGTATTAAGAAATTTGTTTCTCTCCTTCCTTTTGTGCAATGGTACCGTTTAAAATAGGAAAAATACAGTTGAAACAGCAGGTAAAAATTAACGGCTGCCTCATTTGCACATTAACGGGGATATTTAGGGGCCACTTAATCCAACATTTCATTGAAAGTTGTCTTTTTATGATTCGGATGCTCTATAACCTTTTCGTTGCTTCATTATTTCTTCCTTTTGCCTGAAAACGGCCATAGAAAACAATTTATTCAGTCCAAAAATGAGACTGCATGTTTTTTTTTTTTTTTTATTCTATCTTATAAACAAATTGATAAAAATTGGGATTCCGTTTCTCACATCAAAATATCATGTGAAATGTCATGTGCTTAAGTAAAAGAAATGTGTACGTTTAGAAAGCTATGCACATGAAATATATTTAAAAGACTGAGACATAATTTTTGGTGAATGGGACAAGGTATATAATGCATCTAATTGTATTTCTCCAAATAGTTAAGACCATGCAAGTCTTTGAACTAGCATTTTCAAATATGCAGATCACAAGTAAAGTCACATTGACAATTAACAGACTACATCAAAATAAATACACAAGCTAAAAACAAAAATACACATAAATATGTCCAGTCCTGTTACTTGGTTATATCATAGAAGTATTATATTAACTTTCATTTTCTTTCCATGCTTATATGTTGAGGTAAAATGGAAAAGGAGTTGAACAGATTGATAATTAAAATAAAATTTTGGACATACTGAAATGTATTTCTATAATACTATCACAATTTTATTGTAAATGGAAGGACATTTTCAACCCCTGTTTTATGTATGTATTACAGAGAAATATATACATATATATATGTCTCTTATTTTACATTTAAAACAAAAATATTAAAAGGATACAACTTATTGATATCTTAGTCATTTTTTTATGGAAAGCTTCAGGAAAAGTTATTTATTTTCTGAATTCATTTACCAAACAAGAGGCTGTTGAGTGACAGCAAACCGGATTTTCCTGCAGAGGTCGAACCCTGAACAGTTGAGCAAGTATGGACACAACATTAAAGCTTCAAACAGCTCTGAATTTGGATTGTGCTTGAATATTTATAATAGATTATTATCTAATTAATAATGAAAATGATACTTGCAAATCTGAACCCCAAACAGGATCATGTAAAAATTAAACATGAACACACACAACAAAAATAAAATACCATTAACAACTGTGACATCTACTTTCATAGCACACATGACTTAAAGAGAATAGTTATAAAGAAATTTTGACACCTAATGACTAAAATTAATTGAACAGAATCCATATACTTATTTTATCATTACTGGTTCATGGAATAAGTTTGAGTTATTTCCCTTTGAACAGAAATATGGTTTAACTAATAAAGCAAACATAGTTCTTTAAAATTAGATATGATTTAACTCTCTAAAATTAGATATGATGTTACACAATGTATATCTATTTTCAAATCATAATCAAATATAATTAATAGTTTCAAATATTTTTTCTTTCATTTGTCACAAAATAATATAGATCTGCAACTTATCTATCAATGTCAACAACTTTATCTACACAATGTAATGTAATGAAATACATCCTTCATGTCCTTTAATAAAAAAAATAAAGATTAATATCTAATTAAAGGAGTTCGCTTCATCAAAAAAAATTATATATATAGCATTCAGAAAATTAGTTAATACAGAATAACAAACAAACTTACCACAAAATTCTTCAAACAATTTACCAAAGAAAAGAAAAAAAAATCCAAAATGTCGTTTATCATTAATACAATGTCTTTTAAAAATCTTTTAAAAAATGAGTTATTTCCCTTTGTACAGAAATGGAATAATTCATCAAAAATTGAATTCTTGGGAAAGGGCTATAACTCAACAAGGAGAAAAGCTAAACTCATGAAAATTGAACTTGATCTTCATTTAGTCACAGGGAACAACATATCTAAATTTGAAAAAATTTCGTCAAAGCGTTTTCATGTTAATGAACAGACACTGTTTGGCAGCCGCCTGCCCGCCAGCCGTACATCCCAAAATCAACAAGCATTCTGAGAGTATTGCATGGCAATACATAGTCCCCTACCGGTTAAAAATAAGTTATACTGGAACAAAATGCTAACTTGATCTATAACTTGTCATGGTGTAAACTATATAACAAATATCAAGTCAATTTCTTCAAGCATGAAGAAAAAAAGTGTGGAAAACTGATTATTTGAGTGAATTTTCTAAGTCCAAGGGCCATAACTCTGCACAAAATCATCAGACCAGAACAAAATTTGAACTTGGTCTGTAACTTGTCATGATAAAACTATATACCAATTATCAACTCATTATCTTCAAGCATGACGAAAAAAACTATGGAAAACTGATTATTTGAGTGAATTTTCTAAGTCCAAGGACCATAACTGCACAAAATCATCAGACCGGAACAAAATTTAAACTTGATCTGTAACTTGTCATAATAAAACAATGTACCAATTATTACATCAATATCTTTAAGCATGACGAAAAATAAATGGAGAATGTGTCCCCATGGACACAAATGATGCCCCTACTTGCATACAACATTATAAAGGGACATAACTCAAGAACGATAAAAGCGACGCTACCCAAATTTGTATTTCATCTGAGTTTTAAAGTAATAAGTATTGTGAATAGGTTTCATAATGTTTGGTAAGGGCAAACTTAAGTTACACAACGGAAACTAAAAATTTAGCAATTTTTCGATTTATAAAGGAGCATAACTCCTTAATGATTACAGTGATGCTACCATAATTCAACTTGATCTGTGTTTTGTGGTAAAATGTATTTTGTATAAGTTTCATAACATTTTGTTGAGGCAACTTAAGTTAGAGAACGGAAACTAAAAATTTTGCATTTTTTTCCATTTATAAAGGGGCATAACTCGAAAATGGTTAAAGTGACCCCACCAAAATTCAAACTTGATCTTTATTTTGTGGTAATAAGCATTGTGTATATGTTTCATAAAATTTGGTTGAGGCAAACTTAAGTTAGAGAACAGAAACTAAACATTTTGCAATTTTTCCATTTATGAAGGGGCATAACTCTAGAACGGTTGAAGTGAGGCCACCAAAATTCAAACTTGATCTGTGTTTTGTGGTAATAAGCATTGTGTATAAGTTTCATAACATTTGGTTGAGGCAAACTTAAGTTAGAGAACAGAAACTTAAAATTTTGCAATTTTTCCATTTAAGAAGGGGCATAACTCTAGAACAGTTCAAGTAACGCTACCAAAATTCAATCTTGTTCTGTGTTTTGTTGTAATAAGCATTGTGTATAAGTTTCATAACATTTGGTTGAGGCAAACTTAAGTTAGAGAACGGAACTAAATATTTTGCTATTTTTCCATTTATAAAGGAGCATAACTCTAGAACAGTTAGAGTGACTCCACCAAAATTCAAACTTGATCTGTGTTTTGTGGTAATAAGCATTGTGTATAAGTTTCATAACATTTGGTTAAGACGACTTAAGTTAGAGAACGGAAACTAGAAATTTTGCAATTTTTCCATTTATAAAGGGGCATAACTCTAGAACAGTTAAAGTGACGCCACCAAAATTCAAACTTGATCTGTGTTTTGTGGTAATTAGCATTGTGTATAGGTTTCATAACATTTGGTTGAGGCAAACTCAAGTTAAAGAATGGAAACCAATTTTGGGAAGTACGTACAGACGGACATGGGTAAAACTTAATGCCCCCTTGACACATTATAGGTTTCTGACACAGAATAAATGTAGTCAAAGAACTTGAAATTGGTTGTATGGTTTGAATTTATATTAAATTGAAGATTTCTTGCTGTTGTGCAATACACTGTGCTGTTGCGCAATACTTAGTCAATCTGTTTTCAGACTATATACAAAGAATTAGCAAAATAAATTGTGACCGGAAAATTGACAGTTTCTTAAATCTTGAGGGAAAAAAAA